AAAAAATAATAATTAAATAAACATTCCTTTCAATTAGGAATTTTTCCAAAAAATTTTAAGTTTTAAAAATGTTTTTCCAATAATTCCCAATTTACTTCCTTTTTCTTTTTATTAAATTTAAAAATACTATTAGTAGATTATAGACTAATTTTATAAAATTTAATTTAATAGAAACTCAAATTTTAATGAAATTTTTTCTCAAAAAATTCTATAGAGGAATCCCTCTATTATGTCACACCTTCTCGAACCGAATTTAGCCGATATAGGAGAAAATATGACTTTGGAGAATTGAAAAAAAATTCCTGAAAATTGAGGGGACGATCATAAAGACCTCTTTCACTACTTTATTTTTTAACAAACAAACTAGGGTTGTCGGTTTCAGACCGAATGGAACCGACAAACCGAAGATTCTCGATTCGGTTTGTCGGTTCACTTTCAAAAATTTGGTGAACGTGACAACTCTAGTCAAGACCTCACGTGCTTATATGCCTCTCCGGGCTGGAATAATTATTGTATAACTAGGAACTTTCGGATATCTGGTCTTTTTCCAGACCGGATATCCGGATTACTGAGGCATTTTGATTACACATTACTGAGGGTATAACGTAATAATTCCACATTAAAAACGCCCACTAAAATGGGGGGAGTAAATATGGACCGGTGAATTAAATAATTTAACTATTTGGATAATGACTAAATTAATGAGTAAAATTATTTTTTTTTGTATTTTATTTCGTCAAAGAAAATTTTTTTTATTTTTTTCGTAATATTAAAAAACAAAAAAAATAATATTTTTTTAAAAATTGTGTCTCGTAAAACATTAATTTTTATATTTTTACAGTAAAAATATATTATTTATTTTAGTTGAATCCAAGCGTGTCATTTTGATTATTTTTTAACAAAAAAATAACAAAAAAAATTTTTCCAATTTAAATTAGCATTTAAAAAAACTAATTTATTTTTTATATTTTTTTAAAAGTTTACCAAAACTATAAAAAAATTATTTGTTAGAGAGGTTTGGAAAAGCAATAAATTTTTATTTTAAATTTTTGTTAAAAATTTATTTAACAAGAAACAAAAAAGGGAAATTAAGTGTTATCTGACAGACTTTTTTCCAACCGAGCCCCGATACAGAGAAAATTTCTAAAAACCCGACCCAACTTTTTTTTCAATCATGGCATCCCCTAAAACAAGCCTCATTATAAGACACAATTGGATCTCGATCTTACTTAACTTATTCTATTTTTGTTGGTTACTGAATAGAGGAGTTCCCTAGGCGATACTTCACTTTTGAATGCTCTCAATTTAACACAAACTTGGGTTGTTCTTAGAGTTGTCGGTCTTACCAACTCTTCGGTTAACCGAGACGAAAATCTTCGGGTTTTCGTTTTGGTTTGGTTTGAAACCGACATCTCTACTCATTCCTAAAAAGGGGTAACGATACTTGGAGTGCCCAATCTACAATTAATTTGGGTGTAGTATATAAAATTGAGAATTGACTTTATAATTTTCTCAGACTTTAAGGAGATTTTTAAAAAATGAGATTTGGCGACTTTCTTTTAAAACCCCTCTAAGAAAAATCAACTATATAAATTAATAAAAAGTGTTTATTTATTTAAATTAATTTAAATAAATAAGAAAATGTACTTTATTATTAAATTATTTTAAAAAGATATTTTAAAATAAACAAGAAAGAGAACTTTGGTTAAATAATTTTATTTACCCTCAAAGAAGACCACAAATGTATTTTTTATTAAATTCCGTCACAAATTTAATTTTCCTTTAATTTCTTTAAAAAATACCAACCCTTTCTTAGGCTTTTAACAGTGCTAAAGTAGCGTTTAGGTGTGTTGCTTTTATTTAAACTTTGTCTGACAAAAAAATTTTCTTGGTAAAATAAAAATGTTCCTGTAATAAGATAAGATACTATTGCAAGTAATAAGGGATACCCAGCTTAAAATACTTACTAGACGGGAGTTTAAGTTCGTGAAGCTCAACCTAGAGGGGAAAATGTCAGCACATCTAAGGACTGTCGGGACATCTCAGAATCATGCCAAGAGCACTTCTCTTAGTCTATATCAGGGCTGGACGTAGGTGAAAAAATTTTGACGCGGCCAAGTCCAGCCCCGGTCTATTATACAACTCTATTTAAGATACCTATATTCTTTAAAACCTAGACCTCCAATTAAAGTATCCCTCATTATAATACAAAAAATTCGGCCTCAAAGGAGTATCTTTTAATAATATACATACTATAGTTGGTATTTAAAATTGTCTATTCACGTGTTTTATTTGTCCTCCCACAATTTTTAAAGTAGTCTGGGTCACTCAACCAATACCTCCTCTTCACATATAGATACTACTTAATGGCAATATATCTAGTATATTTATTTACAATTTTCTTAAAAAATTTTTTCTCAATTTTTTGTTTAATCAAATTTAATTTCCATTGACGACATTTCTCTAAAGGGCAAGAAAACAAAGAAAAAATTTTCCATGCTTAAAAAATCTTTCTCATTTTCTATAAAGTTTTCATAAACAGGTGAAAGCTTTTCTAATTAACAAAAAAAGTTTTTATTTCCTTCTTTTAAGAATTCTTAATTACAAAAAAACTTTTTTATAAGCCAAATCTCGTTATAAATTTGACTGTACGTTTTGGGGTTTAAAAATCGTACACTAAACTGACGTGTATTTATTTAAGGGATGGGACGGGTTACTGGAAACTAAGGTTGGCTCATAGTTGAAAATCTTCGGATATCCGGATCCGGTATCCGAACCGAAAATTTCCGGATATCCGGTCTTTTTTGGATCCGAATATCCGGATCCGGCAACCTTACTGGAAATCCGATACACAACACTCACGTTTTTCGACCCGAACCCAATGGGACTATTTTCTCACCCCGTTTCCTCACCTCGTAAAAAGTCCTTAGTGACATACACCGGGGGTTATTTTTTCGATCGACTTCTAGAGGGGGGGGGCAATTTTAGAAGGGGGGGGGGTATTTTAGAGAAAATACTGTATATTAGTGGGAGCATCCGACGAATATTCCTGTTCTCAACGATTTTCTACCCTTTCTTTACTTATTCAAAAATTACGCCTAATATTAAAATTTAATTTTTAGTGTTCAAAAAAGGGTTTATCTCTCTTTATTCCAATGATTGACTTTAATTTTATTAGACAAGAAAAAAGTCAAAAAAAGTTTTTTACTTCCTTTCATAGAAAGCTTGTAAATTAGGTTATAAAAGACATTCTTGACTTTTTGAGAGTATATATTGACTAGAAAATCTTAGTTGAGGGATATTTATAAATTTTATTAATATAGTTGGACCTCAATCTTAAGATACCCTCAAGTTGAAACTTTTAATTTAAATGAGGTTTAACTTAAATAAAGGGGTTATCATTTACTCAGCTTCCCACACCCAATAGCCAACATACCCTTAAAGAAATTATCCTAAATAGAGGTATACCTAGTATTGGATGTCTCTTATCAAACTTGGTAATGGACACGAATATCCGTATCCAGATATTTACGGCGGATACAGACGGATATCCGCAGGCACTTTGAGCTTATCTGTATCCATATCCGTATCCATTACCAAGCCTGTCTCTTATAATGAATCCTCAACAGAGCTGTGTTTCGAACTTTCGAGTTTTGAGGATTTCTCGAAGATTTTCCGATCTCGAAAATTTTTGAGCTTTCTCAATCTTCGATTTTCAAAGCTTTTTTATTTCGAAACGGCATTGTCGTCCACTGAACTTTTGAGTAATTCATTTCTAAAATACTCCATTAAAGAACACAAAACATTACCATAATTGCACCATTTGAGAGACATTTAAAAAAGTTTTTATTTCCCCAATTTCCCCAGTCTCGCCCTCAAAACCAATTTCCATCTGTGGCACGTTTTTCCTCTTCAGCCCCCTTTTTTCTTAGTATATCCAATTCATATTATATTCTAAAAACATTTGGGCATCAATAGGCAATTTGAATGGGTAATTGAAAAAAGGAACCCTTCAGAAAAAATTTTTTTTAAATAAAATAACCAATTCCAAATGTAAAAAAGAGGGGGATGCCGAAAAAGGCCTTTCAAAAATTATTTTTTAAAAATTATTTATTATATTACGCAAAATATATTTAGAAAATTTTATCTTAAAAAACATCATTTTTATAAACTAAGACGTCACAAATATTTATTTTTATTTATTAATTATTAAAGAAAAATTTTTTTAGAAAACTCCTCCCTCCCCTTTACCTTTTTAAAAAGTACTTAATTCTCTTAAGTTTATATGCTATTTAATACATCTGCTTTTTCAAGTTTATTTAAGTCAAACTTAAAAACTTAAGTTTAACATAACTTAAGTTTATATTTTTCTCTCAAGTTTATATTCTATTTCCAGCTGCCTTTTCAAGTTTATTTAAGTTAAACTTAAGTTTTACTTTAAAACTTGACGGTATTTATAATTCTCTCAAGTTTATATATTATTTATTCAAGTTTATTTAACCAAAACTTATAAAAAGTTCTCTTAAGTTTATACACTATTTCCATCTGCCTCTCATGTTTTTTAAGCACAACCTTAAAAACTTAAGTTTTATCATAAAACTTGACGGAAATTAAAAATCTTAATTAAAAGTAAGCTAAACTTTATCTAAAAGAATATAAGGGTCTTTTATATTAAAAATTTTCACCTGCTTCTTTTCTATTAAAAAAGTTCCCTTTTCTATATTTAAATGATCATTTTAAATAAATTTTAATTTTATTTTCTCGCCTAAAATTAAATTCGAACTTCAGGATAACCCAAATCTTTTTTTTTTAATTTTGATTGTCCACTGGGTGTGGGAAGCTCTTATAGTAATACCTTCTATTTTAAGCAAAACTCATTCGATATCTTCAACTTTGTGGGTATTTACAAGTTCGAGTATTTAAAAAATAATTTTTTAGAGTTAATAAAAACTAGAAAATAATTTCTCTTCAATATCCTTCTTGTATATCCATTAACTAAACTACCAAAAAAGAAAAATGTCAAAAATCGTTAGCCAATCAACATCAACATCTCCCACATTTTCTTCTTCTTCCAAGACAACTAGTAACCCTTCAATCAACAAATTTAATTTTTACCACCCTTCAACTTTACTTTTTTGTTTCCTTTTTATCTTCACATTTTCAATCTCTTCTATTCAAGCATATCCTGCCTTTTATATGCAGGCAATCCCCCGAAAATCACAATTTAATATGGAAGCTCCTTTATTGCACCATGCTGCCCAGAAGAGAGCTTTTGATCGGTTGGATGTTTCTCCATTCGATTTTGATGCAATGACTAAACGATTTAATGATGATGAACTTTCATCCTTGCCGGTTAGTTATGAGAGAATTTTTCAAAAAAAAATTTTTAATACAGTAAAACCTCTATATAAGATACCCCCAATATAAGGTACACCTCTATTTAAGCAACGCTTTATTAAAAATTTTTTAGTTGGCCACTGGGTGGCAAATAAACTGTCTTTTCTCTTCTAAAGAAGAGAACATTCGATATAAGGTACCTCTCGTTATAAGGCACGATATTTTTCAGCCCAAGGGTGTAGCATATAGAGAGGTTTGACTGTATTTCAATTAATTTTTCAATAATTTTTAAATTCAATTTTTTCCATTTTTCAGTTCAATTTTGACTACTTTCCATCATTGGATACACACAAACGAGCTTTTGACCGACTTGAAGATAGTGGATTTTTTGGTCTAAGGAAGAGAGCATTCGACCGACTTGATAATTCATTCATGCTTTTAAAGAAATCTTCAGCTTGAAAAGAAAATTAATTCTATTTAAATTTACAATTTAGTTTTTAGTAACTGAAATTATTTTTTGATACAGAAACAAACACACATTATTCTATTTAGTTACCCAAATTATGGTTAAACCTTGCTATAGGATACACCCAATATTAAACAAATTCTTCTTAAAATGGGAGAACTAGCTAGGCGATACTCTCTAAGATATACCTCAGTAAATTTTTAGCCCTAGAGGAGTATATGTACTTTTGACTGACTTGAAGATAGAGGATTTTTTTGGTTTAAGGTTCGATCATAATTTATTCAGTTACTAAAGGATTCTTTTAAACATTCCTTTAAAACATATATTATATATATTTAAAAAAGATCTCAAGAAACACAAGTTATAAATATTAAAATTTAATTTTAAACATTTTTATTGTCCAATTTTTTGTAAATGTTCAAAATCAAAAAAAAATTTTTCGAATTTATAAAAGTTTGTGTTATACATGTCCCATATTTTACCAAATCCATGTTCTACCAATAAGGCTAAAATCTACGTTTTGCTAACACAATTTTATCTGCAAAACGTGAATTTTGTCTTATTGGTAGAATATGGGTCTGGCATAATATGAGGAGAAAAATTAGGGTAGCACCCCGTCCCCCGACGAATTTTTAGTCAAAAACCCAGACCCGAACCCCGAAGGCTCTACCTCCCCGCGGCAAACCCCGATCCCGACGATCCCGCCCCCGAAGACTCGGGGTGCTACCCCAAGTCATATTATCAGTTAATATTTTTAAGGAAAGAAGTGAGAATGAAAGGATACAATTTTTAATATTTTTTAGAGAGAAAAAAAGTCAAATTAAAATAAAAAATATATATTTTGCGTTTTTATTTGTTTTTAACTCGGGAATGTCTGCACAATGAAGTAATAAAAATTAATTAATACGTTCCCGTAAGGAGATATCACGGCAATTTTCTTTTACTCAAAAAATAAAGGGTTATTTTGTTGATTGACATATAATTTCTGTTAGATTCTTCAGCGATTTTTAATTTTATAAAAAAAATAACCCCAAATAAATATTTCAAAGCATTTTTGAAATTTCCAATTCTCGTTGCGCTTTATCTTCTTCTTCGTCAACTAAGGCTTCAGCTAAGGTTGTTGGAATGTTATTTTCAATCCATTGAAGATCATCCTATAAAATTTATGAAAAATAACAATAGAAAAGGAAGTAATGGAATAATGTGTAAGGAAAACAATATATATGTTGCTAATGTCTAAAATGTTTAAGGGGAGGTCTAGGATAACTAAAAGTTCAGAAAAAATTCATCTACTAAATCTGATATTACACAAGACTTTTAATAATAATTATCGAGATCACAGGTCAATAATAGAGATCGGAATTTTAAAAAACCGGGTCCGGGTTCTGAAAGTTGACCCGGAGGGACCCGAACCGGGAATTCGTTCCCGGTTTCATCACGGTTGCTTCAAAAAACCGGTAAGAAATCCGAAAACCGGGTTCCGGAAGGTTCCGATCTTTATTCGATAGTGCCTGGACTAGATGGCTACTCGACAGCCTTACTATCTCTTGATTTAAATAATCTAGAGGATTCCCAACTTCCTGTTCTTCAAAATGATTTTGGGTCGAATTATGAGCAGTTAACGTTCCAGCTTTTTGTGGGAGCTTAATTGATACCCGAAATGAAATGGGGACATTATAAAAATTTCAAAATTAACCTCTAATTTGCTATTCTTGTTTTCTCCATCTTTGCCAGCAACACTTCCATTACTCTGTCCATTTTCTTGTTTTTTATCTCTTTTGGATACAACTTCATAAACAGCTGGGCGTTGTCCTCCACTTTTAGTAAATAATTCATCTTCTTCAATATCTTCCTCATTTTCATCTTCACTATTATCCAATAAAGGAGTAAAAGCATAACGTTGATTATTTTGTGAAGGACGCCAAAGAAACATTATGACAACAAGAATTGTACAGAAAAAGATGTGCCAAAATGCTGTATCTACCCATCTTTAATAAAAAAAATTTTTATTAGGGATTTCTAAAAAAATAGAAAAAATCATTTCAAAGGTTAAATTGATATATGTATTTATATGATCGCCCACAGGCTTTCTATTTCCCTATAAAAACTAAAAATGGACAAGGGAACATAATGGCAAGTCAAACATTCATAAGGAAAAATTTTTTACAATTTTATGCCCTCGATCATTTGTAATTTCTATGAGAAAAGAGAAAAAGAAATCGAGAAGGCGATAATCGAATGTCTTAAAAGTCAAAAAATTAAAAAAAAACCCTCACAATTCCTTCCAATCCTTCATGCAGTATTGAAACAGATGCATCCACAAAGACCAAAACATGTAGAGAACAGAAATAAAAAGTCCCATACCCAAAACATTGGTAAAATGTAAATATAAAGATAGTTTAACCTAAAAAAATAAATTTATTTTATAAAATCTAAAAATTAAAGGTAAAATTTAAAAATTAAAGGCCTCACTGCTACACAAATTGGGCATCAAAATCTACCTTATATTGAGGTCTAACTTAAATAGGATATGCTTATGCAATTCTCTCACCCAATGGCTGATCAAATTTTGAAAAAAAGTTTCTTATGTCAGATGGAGGTTTATCAGACAGAAATGTCTCGTGCTACCTGAAACACGATATAATCAAGACTTTTTCGACCCGAAACTCGATCGCAAGGGAATTTTGAAACCTTGACCCGCCTGTTTTTTTCAACATCCCCAGTCATCCCCAAAACATCGCCGGTCTCTAATATTGGGTGTACCCTATAATTATCCAACATTATAAAGAAAACCTCATTCCGTCTTAATCGAAGTGCTCTCATTGTCGAAATTAAGGAAGAGAAGACCCACCAAGCAATACAAATTTCCAAGAGAGCTAAAGGCATTTTAGCTATCTGTTTTTCTTTGACCGCTTCTGTTGTTTGCTTAAAAATTAAAATTTAAAAATCTCCCGAAAACATTTAAAAAACCTTCGAAACCCTTGTAAGTCCTTCAATAGCACAAAAAATAAAATATAACATTCCAACAGCAATTACTTGATTTAAAGTCGATCCAAGTCTAGGCTTTACTACTCCAAAACCCACAGAGACAATAATAACTAAAACATGTGCCATTGTTCGTTTTAAACAAGAAGTCAATTCGGCAAGCTTAAAGAAGGGTTTTTTAATTTAAAAAAAATTTAAAAGAAACCTCCAATAATCCTTCAACAGACTTTCCAGTTTGATTCATATTTGAATATTCAGCATAAAAAACAGCCTTTTCAATCATTCCAATCATTATAACTGCGCCTAAAAAATTGAAAAAAAAATTATTTGAAAAAAATGTTGGGATATGGATGTTCAGACCGCTGTCTATATGTCAGCCTAGAACATTCCGCAGTTTAAGACAAATTTTAATGAATGTCTTTTTCGAATATATAGACTTGGGCATTTAAATGATTTGTGAAGACAACCCGTGTTTTTTACAGATGTTTATACGGCCATTTTCCGAAAGCTAGGTGGCCGAGGAATTGGGGTGGAAAAGCGAAAAAATGTATTAAAAGGAAATAGAGATTGGTATTATCAAAAATCCTGGATCTGGACTCTAGATTTGGGTTATTGACCTGGACAGGATTCTGGATCCCAGAAAAATCCAGATCCAAAAAAAATCCAGGACGATCAAAAAATGCCTGGATCTGGACGCTGCCTCCAGGAAAAATCCAGAATGGATCCAGATCCAGACTAAACAAATATCAAAATCGACAAAACCAACCTATCCAAAACTGAACACGTAAAAGGTCTTTCCAATGTTTAAGGCAAACAATTAACCAAGCCAAAGCCATCAAAGTATAAAAAATACACATAAACCCATAAAAATGTAAAAGAGGATAGTCAATTGCTGATAAATATCCATAAGGACCACGCCATTGAACTTCGGCTTCAATTGTGTGATTTTTGGTGTCATCAGCAGAGAATTTAGTTATTGTAATTCTCAAAATGAGTAAATAAATAGCGTCAACAGGCAATGTTTGGATTGGATGCCAAGAACTAGAGAATTAATTTTTAAAGGAAATAAAATGGACGTAGAAATTAAAAAATGAGGGACCCTTAAATTAATTTAGAAATTTCTTAGACAAAAAAAGTCCACGATAATAAGTGTTCGGAACGGATTCGGGAGAATTTTTTGAATCCAGTTTTTCATAATCTTCGGAATTATTTCCGGACCATAGCGCTACCCCGGACCTGTAATTCAAAAAAGGACTTTGAGGTCCAGGAAATCCACTTATAATAAGGTTGTTCACTTCCAGCTAATTTTCGCCTGCGACGGCTTGTGTACTTAAAATCCATCCATTTGAGTCACCATAAGCGAAAATAAAATAACCGGTAGTGAAAACCCCAAATTTTAAGATCAGGATCATTGTATTCTCCCATGACTCGGAATTCAAAAACACCGGATTTGGGTCCGGAAATCCATTTATAATAGGGTTGTTCACTTCTGGTTAATTTTAGCCTGTGACGGCTCATGTCCTTAAAATCCACCCATTTGAGCCGTCATAAGCAAAAATTAGCCGGCCATGAAAACCCCCAAATTTTTACATCAAAGTATAAAAAATAAACGTAAAATCATTTAAATTTAAAAAATATAAAATTTAACAAACGTCAAAGAATCTTTTGCACCCCCATCAATAGATTGTCCATTAATTCCAGGAAATTGGTCATTTGCCCTCCTGCTTCTTGGCTCTAGACTTGGTAACTATTTTTTAAATTAAAAATTAGCAAGAATTTAAAAAATAATTAACCTGGTTAAAAGGAGTAACATTATAAACTTTCATCCCAAATTTTGGTATTTGTTCAAGGAAATGATCCCCAACAGAATTTAAACAAGAAAATCTTTGAGGCTTTGATCGATAATAAAGAATTTTGTCATAATCATATCCCGGAGGAATTTTGTTGTCATTTTCAAAGTAAAATTGCTGTAAAAATTAGGGGGAATTAATAAGTGGGTAAAACTCGATTCGCAGCAAGTCAAATTTTTAGTATTATTCGACAGCGCTCAGTGAGACGTCGAATCATACCAAAAATGGGATTCGATAATTATAGGGCTTGTTAAATGAAACTGAGGCAGATTCGGTTCGCGGTGGGCCGTCTACCAGAAAAGACAATTTTGGATCTTTTGTAATACATCACTCTCGACTGGAAAAGAAACTCCTCCCACTTTGAGAAAGATATAAAGCTTTATATTCTCTTTTTAGTGGTTCCTTTTTTTTCCCCCTATTGTTCTTTTTGGCTTTTGCTGGCGGAACCACGCTCGCCAACATTATATTTAATTTTCGGAAATAAAATTTAATTGGAAATGTTTTTCTTATTTGTTTATTCATAAAGTCCCCAGTGCTAACCCTTACAAATGGAGGTCCTAGGCTAACCACACAGCCAAAAATGAAATTATTAAATTGAAAAATTTAACAAAAAATAAAAAATTACTGCACGAACAATGGAAAAATTTAAAATTAAAATAAAATTCAACAAATATTTAAAAATTATTAAAAAATATTCAAAATTCTTTAAAAATTAAAAATTCTTTAAAAATATTAATTATTGGCCCATTCGAGTGAAACTTCTTCCATCGGGGCCCGGGTACCAACGGTTCGAAGTCGTCGAGCAGCAGTAAATGGAATTGTCGTCAAGGGCACATGACGACGTAAATATCGGTTAAAACGAACAACAAAATACAAAATAACACCAAGAACAATTGAATGGACAACACCGACGGTAAAAAGCACAGACACAGTAATCCAGTCAAAAGGACACGAAAGTGAAGGAGGATGTTCAAGCGGGGTCTCAGAGCAGTAGGTTGGTTCGATAAAGCTTAAAAGAGAGTTTAGGTAAGAAGGAGTAGATTTGAGTGTCGAATCGGAGTATAGGTGATATGACGGAATTTTACCCAGGTGGAAAAATTTTCTTGGTTTTATATGCATTGTGTTAGTAATATAGGTGTTTTGAAACCGAAAGAAATTCTATCACAAAAATCGCAAATTTTAAATAGGAAGGAAAAAATCGTTGAAAATCGAAATTTTTACTAAAATATAAGGTCAAAAATCCGTAAAATGAAATTTCCAATAAATTCCAAGAAAATTTTTTAATGAACTACAAACAAAAAGGGGTTTTTCTCACCAAAGTGAAAGCCGATTCAAATGTTTTAGTATTTTTTCAAACCTACCCAATTGGGTGATAACAAAACCAAGGGCAACCAGGACAATGATCACTAGTATCAGCCAACTCCCAACCAAGAAAAATGCCGGGGGGTTCGTCAAAGGAGGTAGAAGCAGAAATAAAGAATAAAGTAAAACAAAGGAATAAGTGCATTGTTGAAGAAAATAGATTTACCGGTCAGACCTCGCTATAAGATACACCCGGGAAAAGACCGCACCTTATAATGAGGCGTATTTTAAATAAGGGAAATTAACCAGAATGTGACTATACCCCGGAGAATAATTAAATTTTAGGAAAGGTATCTTAAAAAGAGGGTATATCTTATAGCGAGACCCAATGATAAATTTAGGAAAATATATTTTTTTAATATTTTTAGTTGGGGAAATGAGATTTAATAGTAAATAAATAATGTTTATAATAAGGATAAAATAGAATAGAAAGAAAGGCAGGTGCTAATTAACATAAATTTTTTAAAGTTTTGGCCCATCCTAATAATTTTTCACTTTCCTTCCAAAAAAATACAATAGAATGAGAAAATAAAAATAAATAAGCGGCAACAAAAATAGAAGAGAACCAAAAACAAGTAAAAAAGTGGAAATTTTAAGAAAATAAATTAGGGGACAAAAAGCAATATTATAAGCATAATATAGGGAGTTTATTAATAAAATTATTATTTTAAAATAAAATGACAAATTGTCCCATCTCAAAATGTCCAACGGAGTAAAAATAATCAATTTGTCGAACTATAAATTAAAAAAAATGGAGTAATAGTAATGAAAATTAGATTTGAATATTTTGACCTGAAATAAAAGTAAAATTATACATTAATGAAATTGCCAAAAATAATAAGCAAAAATAACAAAAATAAGTAAAATTTCTAGGTATAAATTATATTTTTCGGCATATTTTCGTGCATATTTTGTATTTCTAGTGCATAAAAACCCATCTAGTGTAAAATAAAAATTTCTACAGTAACCCCAAAAAATAGTAAAAATAATAAATCAAATAAGGACACTAAAATAAAGTATCCGTAAATAAAAGTACATCTGATATCACATGATTTATTTGTCTGGAGTTAAAAAAAAAATATATAAAAATTGAAAAAATGGCAAAAACAAAGCCATTCATTTAAAAAATATATATGGAGGAAGAGCCAAGAAGCGCCTCCGGCGCCAAAAAACAAAAACAAAACAATATATCAAATATTAGAAAAAATATTTTTGCCCTTTTTGGTTGAAAAAAATAAAAAGAATTTTAGGAAATAACTCCAAAGTGGAAAGGAGGGCCCCCTGAACACTGGCAAATAAATCCCTTGTGATACTTTGGAAAAAATATATATTTTTTAAGCTTTTAGAAAATAGGAAGCCGACATAAGAATTTTTAATATAAACAAAAAAATTATTTTTTTACTACATTCTTCTCCTCTTTACTTTATCTTTGAATATAGCCGAGTTTAAATTTAAATTTATAATTTTAACATTTCATTTTATAATTTTAACATTTAATTAGAGACCGGAATTTCGTACTGGAATACCAAAAAATACCGACACCGAAAATACCGATAAAATTCAAAATTTTACTGTATCGTATTCCATACTGTGTTACTGACTGTAATACCGATAAATACCGGAAAATACCATTGTAGTACGGTCCCGTCTCTACATTTAATTATTAAGGTCAAATTTCTTCTAATTAATGAAAAAAGTAATTTTATTATATAATGAAATTTTGTTTGAATTTTAAACATCGAATAGTTCACTATCAGTAAATATAAAATTTTATATTTTGGGAATTTACGTACAGATTAAGCCATTTTTTAAATATATTTTAGGCCGCATGTTTATATTTTGTCATTTTTCATTCTTACGATATCTATTATTATTTAATTAAATTTATTAATTAATATAAAAATTGAGATTTTTACAAAGGAATAATTCGAATTTTTTTTTACATTTTAGCTACACTCTTAGGATAAGAATTAAGTGAGGACTGGGTTGTAAAGCATATTATTTATTTGAGAAATTGTTAAATAACTCTACTTCAAAAATTAATTTAAACTATCACGCAAAAAATATTATGTAAAATAATTGAATTAAATAGTAATTACGAGTTTAAGCTTTTTTTATATAAATTTTTAATCAAATCTAGTCAATTTTATTTTAATCTTATTTAGGGTATATTTTAAGAAATTTTGCATATTTTTACTAAAATTGGCGTTAATATTCGAACATTCTATTAGAAATCTATTATTTTGTTTTCGTTAGAAATAATCTATTATTTTGTTTTCGTTAGAAATAATATAAAATTTTGTTTTGTTAGAATTTATTATCTAAAAATTATTTTTAGCAGAAATATTTAATTTTTTAATCTAATCTGAGAAATTTTTGTTTAAAATCTCATTGCCAAAATTTTATTTAGATCATTTTCGGTAATAAATTAAGTACAATAAAATATTAAAAAAAAAGTAATCCTGAGGTTATCGCTTTAAATAAATTTTTTGACAATATTTAGGAGTTTTATTTGTAGAATGTCTCGCTTTTTAAAATGAATGTCTCGCTTTTTAAAATCTGTTTCGGCACATCTCTAAATCTAGTGAATATTTTAAGAAATTTTGCGTATTTTTAGGCATATTCGGGAATATTTAAGACACTTAAATCTAGTTAATAGTAACATAAATTAAAATTTTAGAGAATAATTAAGGTATAATTTTAAAAATATTTTTAAATTAACGTCCAATTTGATAGCCAATTCAAAAAATCTAAACAACCAACAATCCGGTCAAACGCCTGCTGAAATTAAGAATTTGTACGGAACCCCTCCGTCAACACTTGGTCAGGTAGGGGAAGATTCAGAAAGAACCAAAAGATATAAAAATAGATTGAAAAAAATTTGGGAAAGAAAAATGGAAGATTTAGCGGGGCAGTTGCAAGATTTGAATATTAAATTGGGGAATATAGGAAACAAACCGAGTTTTAAAATTGCTCCGTTCCTAGGTCGTAGAGACCCGCGTACTTTTTCAGGGTTTATAGTTGAATTTAATAAAATTGGGACAGCTTACGGTTGGTCGAACGCGGAAATGTGTAAAATGTTACCTATGTATTTAGGAAAAGAAGCCCAAATCTATTATGATAATTTAACTGTTGAACAGAAAGGAAATTGGGAAGCCCTTAAAGATCAACTAGCCCAAAAATTCTCAATAGGTAGTAGTGTCCCCCATTTTCGCAGAATGGCCCAAATAAGAAGACAGCGAGTAAATGAGAGTATTCCCGAGTTTGCAGAAATAATTACACAGTTAGTCGATAAAGGGTATACTGACGCTACAGGATTTAGTGCAAATATTCGGAAGGATTTAGCCATCGATTTATTTAGGGGAGGATTAAAACTTGAACTTAGAGAGCAATTAAGGAGAATGCCTAGACCAGGATCAATGCCTGAGGCGATACAGCAGGCAGTTGAGGAAGAAGAGGCACAAATAGAGATTTCGCGAGAAAAATTAACAACTGCGCAAGTAGAGAGTATAAATCAAATAGGTAAGGTTCAAAATAGTACTCAAGACCCTAGACAACAGGAAATTAAAAATAATGGGTTCCAAAGATTTTTACCAAACTTTCAAAGGAGAACACCATTTTTCAGAAACAGATTCCAGAATAATGGAGTAACACAAAATCCGCAATGGAATAATTATAGACGACCTTTTAATAATGGGTGGGGCTCCTACCCGACAAATAGAGGTCAATTCAATGCCAATTTTATACCGTATAGAGTAAATTGGAGAAACCAAAATATGAACAGATATAAACCCTACCAAAACGTTCAAAATGGAAATACAAACACTAATAGATTTACACCCACAAGGACCAATAAACCTCGATAGATTTACACCCACAAGGACCAATAAACCTCGAGGGCGAGGAGGATATAAAATAAATGTTGTAGAAAATATACGAAAATCCCCATCGCCTATATTTCCGTTATTGACGCTTATAAGTCTCATTTTAATTCAAAATGCGGTCAGTTACCAGGTTTGTCTAAAAGAGGATAATGGGATTTTGTTAGCTCCTCCGAAGAAAATAAATTGTTCAATTCCCAATAATAAATTATATGAGGAATATAGTGTGGAAATTTTCGTCCCGAGGAAGAGACCATATATTTTTACAGGCTTTAAATGCGAGAAATTAATTTTTGGGAAAAGTACTTATACATTTTTACGAATTTACAACTCAGAAATCGATATAGCTGATATTTTAGAGAAAGTTTCGAGTGAGGACTGCTGGAAACTAATAAAGGAGGGCAGGTTGGGAAATAAAATTTTAGAAAGAGTGGATGAAAATACGCTAAAATCAACCACGAATCTTAAAGTAGATTGGGGTATTTTTGGCAACACATATTTTTTTGAATTTGACTATATAATTTCTATTGGGAATATTTATGTGAATTTTGAAAATAAAATCGTAAAAACAGATTTAGGAATATATTACAATTGTTCTGTAGATATAGGTGAGTGCGAGAATGAGAATAGTACAATAGTATGGGAGGATCCAAATAAGATACACTGCCCTTATGAATCAGCGGGCTTTTACAAGGGGATAGTAACTAACGATTTTGTAGTTATTGAAAACTTACAGGCAGCTTTTGTATTTTCGGAACATGCCACGGGGAATATAACAGACGAAACACAAGCTTGCTTTAAGAACAATACCTTTTATATGGAAAATGATGTTTTCATTTCTATACCATTATTAAGAGATTTTATTGAAACCGAAAAGGGATTAAGAATACCACTGTACCCAGAGGCAGGAATAGGAAATTGGGATGATATGGAAGCTAAAAGGAGGAAAAGGGAATTAAAAAGAGCCAGAAAAATGACCACTACTACGAAAATTCCGACGTCAACGAGTACACAGACGCCAACAAGCACAACTCGAATAACTAGAAGACCACAAATTGAAATAATAACACCTCCTCTATTAACCACTCAAAGATCAATACAGTCGTCACGAAACCCTCTAACAAGTACCCAAAGATATTATAATCCAGTAACGAGACCTAAATTTGAATATACAACTAGAAGAACGAGCGAATACTCGACCCAAGGACCAGAAAAATTAAAAATTCCAAGATTATTCTCTACTACAAAGCAAACTTTTATAGAATATACCACACAAAAAACAGAACTTATTAGAGAGACAACTACAATAAAACAAAGAAATATACCAAATACCACCCCCGCAAATAAAATAGTAGTTAAACCCCAACCAGTTGAGTCCACAACTATTCGCGTTTTTACGAGACCGGTTACAAAGCAAATGAGACCTATAATAATTTCGACTACAGAAAAAAGTCCAGTCACATATACAAATAGAATAACAGGGTATAGACTACCAACCACACAAAAAACAACTTTAAGGATGACATATTTAAAAAATTCACGTCCAGAAACACAAAAAACATTAACAAATAATATAAAAGTTCAGACAACTACAAACCCCTATATTTATAAGCCCACAGAAGTTCAGTCAACTATAAGTCCTCAAGAAATTACAAATAAAATAGAAATTTATACAACCCCCAGTTCTTATATCGATAAGAATATAACACTTAAAAAAGCCAGAATAATACCTGCAAAGGAAAAAATTAAAATTAGTCGTTTAAATTTAAGTAAAGCAGAGAAAAATGAGCAAAATTACAGGAAAATAGCGCTAAATATTGCTAAATTCTATGGACTGAAGCCTAAATTCCTTAAACGAGAAACACCATGGAAAATTGGAGAGGACCATAAAGATAAACAAGCCCACAAAGATACACAAATAAATAATAATTTAAACACAAAATTACAATATTTAGAAGCCCACGCGACCGAAATAGTTAAGGAAAATTTTAATAAACTATGGTTAGAAATTTGTAATTTACATAACAAGCAGATTGAGACCGCTAAGACCATGATGGGAATTGATACGACATTAGGAGCAAGACTGTGGCTAAGAAGGCAGGACATAATGGCCAATTTTCTAGGTGAGGTTATCCAAGTTTCTAGGTGTATTCAATTGAGTCCAAGAAAAATTTTTTGGAGTCATGAAATTAATGGTACCTGTTATAAGAAAGTCCCAGTTGAAGTTATTCAAGGCAATTTAACAAGAATTCTATTTATGGTTAGCGGGTCCTATGCTCAAGATTTAGTCTCTGAAAGTGAAAAAATCGAATGCGAAAAAAGACCGAAATCAGTATTTAAAGACGAAAAAGGTCAGTGGCGAAACATTGACGGACTCACACCCGTCGACATGGTACCAAATTTCTTACCGTATAAGCCTGAAGAGGCTAGGAAAATTTTTCGAGCAGAAACTATATTTCAATCCGATTTAAATAGTTTGATGGCATCTATTTCAATACTACACAATTACGCTAATAGGATAAATAAACAGGAAAAAATTTTAAGTCTGAAAAATATAACATATGCCAATAATTCGAACATTCTTCTCCAGATCGGTGAAAAAACGGGAGAAATTGTAAATGCCGGAATAGAAACTGCAAAAAATATTTCATTAAATCCGCTAAATCTTTTTTCCTTTTTCGGGGAGTGGAAAAACTATTTACAGATTGTTACGATTGTGGCACCTATAATTGCAATAATTGGATTAATAATATACTTCTACCCATGGATACAGCCAATATTATCATTCAGACCCAAGTGGAAACGGGAACAAAAAATTAGAAAAGAAAGTTATCAAATAAATAATATAAACAGTGTTACACCCAGTGCACCACCAATCGAGATAGAAATGGAGGCCTTCATACATAATAGCGTTCCAAGAATTTATCAAGTATCCAACGTAGAATTACAACCGAGTTCAGAACCAAACCATCCATTTATTCAAATAATAGTAAATAATTTTAAGAGCAAAGCCCTAATCGATTCAGGCGCATCCATTAGCTACTGCAAATTGTCAGTCGCCGAAAAAATTGGAAAAATAAATTTCGATTTAATGCCAAACACAAAAGCAAAAGTAGCTAATGGAGGTGAATTTTTTATGATTGGTAAAATTAATGTTAATATAGAAATTGATCATATTAAAATTTCCACCCAAATTTATGTAGCTAAGGATGAATTTTGTCCTTTCGAAATATTGTTAGGATCCGATTTTATGAAACAATTACAAATTAATACAGGGTATCAATTAAATTTCGATTGGATGAATAAAAAAGTAAAATTTTTAAATTTTGAAGAAAATGAACTTAGAACATTGCCAATGGTGGCAGTACTCGAAATTATGCCTACAAAAAATACAGTTAAAAACAAAGAAAAAATTATTCTAGAACCCCACACAGATAACCTTGTGCCGTGTTTTATTGATGAATTAATAGAAGAAGATATTTTAGTAGGTAAAGGGAATTATATGGACGAAGATACAATATTAATAGGTAAAACTCTATGTAAACCGGATAACGTTTACGCGAGAATTTTTAATGGGGGTAATTCTTTAATTACTGTACACCAGGGACAAACAATAGGCTGCTATTACCCAATAGAAGGAAAAATTCAGCCGGGAATATACTCCACAGAATTAATAGAAAATAAAAATATAAATAAAGAAAACATAGATAAAGAAAGAAAATGGCAATATTTAAAAGACAAAATAAATTTAGAAAAATCATGTTTGTCGAGAAAAGCACAAACAGATTTAAAAAATATAATTTATAAAAATCTTTACGCTTTCGTAGGCGAAGACGGCAAAATTGGATTTTTTAATGGGCCTATTGAACATAAAATTGATCTTGTAGATGAAAAGCAATACGTTCAATTAAGGCCATACAGAGTTCCTCCAGGGTTACAAGAGGAGGTGCACAAACAAATACATGATATGCTAAAACAAAATATTATAAGGCCGTCTGAATCCATTTTTGCCTCTCCAATAGTGTTAGTAAAGAAAAAAGATGGGAAATATCGCTTTGCAATTGACTATAGAAAACTTAATCAGAATACCAAAAAACAAGTTTATTTCTTACCGATGATTTCAGATATATTAGATAAAATAGGAGGCAAAGCAATTTTTACCACTTTTGACTTTCAAGCAGGGTTCCACCAAATAGGAATTGAACCGAAACATATTGAGAAAACAGCTTTTGCAACTTTTTGTGGAGTTTATGAATTTTTGAGAATGCCCTTTGGTCTTTGCGGAGCACCGTGCACTTTCATGAAGGTTATGGAGCATCTACGAAAAGACCTTTCGGCATCATTTTTAGTTTATTTGGACGATGTAATATTAGGATCAATAGATGAACAGGAACATTTAAGAGACATTGAAAATTTTTTAAAAATATTAATAAAATATAATCTAAAATTGAAATTAGAAAAATGTTCCTTTGGGAGGTCAGAAATAAAATATCTAGGATTTTTGATAAGCGAAGAAGGAATTCGGCCAGACCCAAAAAATATAGAAGCGGTACAAAAATTTAAACCACCAAAAACGCTTACCGAGTTAAGAAGTTTCATAGGCGCAGTCTCGTATTTTAGAAGATTTATTAAAAATTTTGCACAAATTATGGCCCCACTACATGAATTGACCAAATTAGGTGAAACAGTTGAGAAAAGTTGGACCGAGATACATCAAAAAGCTTTTGAAATAATCAAAGACAAATTGTTGACAGCTCCAGTTTTGGCTTCACCCAATTTTACAAAACCATTTATAATTGAAACGGATGCGTCAAAAACAGCGATAGCAGGCTGTTTACTTCAAAAACACGAGGATGGAGAACATCCCATCTCCTTTGTTTCGAGAAAAACTACCCCCAACGAACAAAAACATATTGCTGCCGAGCTAGAGGCATTAGCAATAGTTTATTGCCTAGAGCAATTTAGACCTTATATTGAGGGAATTGGAACGACAATAGTACGGACCGACAATTCTGTAGCGTGCTCGCTTATGAAAAGTAGGAAATTAGTAGGGAGAATGGCGAAATATCAATTGGCGGTACAAGCTTATAATATTAAAATTGAACATAGAAGCGGAAAATCAAACAAATTCTGCGACCATTTATCCAGATACCCTAATATCGAAACAAATGAAGAGGAAATTTTTGCAATTGAAAGAGAAATACCAGATTGGCGAAATTTTTTAGAAACATTTAAAGAAAAAACCCAGGATCAACAAAAAGACTTTGAATTAACAAAAGAAATTTTAACTCAACCTGAAAAGTGGGAGAAAGTGTCAATGGATGAAATAAGAGAAGAGCAAGGGAAAGATAGAAATTATATGAAAATAGTAGAAGTGTTAAAAGAAAAGGATAATATAAATAGTGAAGAAGAAAATTCAGAAGAAAATCGAGAGGCTCTTGAAAATTTTTCTGTGATTGACGGAATTTTATATCGGTGGATGGAAAGCGAAGAAGATTCATACCCAGTTATTGCTATACCACAAACACTACGCGAAAGAATAATGCGAGAATGCCATGAAAATGAACTTTTAGGCGCGCACTTAGGAATTGCCAAGACATTAGAAAAAATTAAAAAACGTTTCTTTTGGAAAAGATTGTCATCGGATGTCCATAATTATGTGAGTGCGTGTATTAAATGCCAGGAGAGAAAAATAATGCCAAGTAATATACGTAAAGAACCGATATTCCCAATTACAGTACCAAAATCCCCATTTGAACGTATTCACATAGATATTATGGGACCGTTACCTTTAACAATAGAGGGATATAAATATATTTTTACGGTCGTCGATGCTTTTTCTAAATGGCTAGTAGCAGTGCCAATGGAAAATCAAACAGCTATAACAGTGGCACAAGCATTTTCTAATAATTTTATAACGAAATTTGGTTGTCCAAGGTCAGTCGTGTCGGACAATGGGAGACAATTCATAAGTAATATCTTTCAAGACTTAGCCAAATTATACGGATTCAAGCATAGAAAGACAACTACTTATCACCCTCAGTCCAACGGAATGGCAGAGAGGTTAAATAGAGTGATAGCCGACATGTTGTTCAATTATGTAAATATAAAAGGGGATAATTGGGGTCATTTTTTACAAAGCGTAGTATTTGCGTATAACACAAGTGTTCAGGCAAGCACAAAACAATCCCCGTATTTTATTTTGTTTTTTAGGGACCCAATAATGCCCATAGATTTAAGACTTAGTAATTGGGAAGGTAATACGCGAGAAGAAGATATGTCAGATTACCTAGAAGAAAACGTAAAAGGATTAAAACAAATCTGGGATTCGGTAAAACTATCTATTGAAAAAGCACAGAAAACACAAAAAGATAACGCAGATAGGGATAGGAAAGAACATAATTTTAAAATTCATGATTTGGTATTAGTGAAAATTGAACATTTACCTGGTGATCAAGCGCATAAATTTAGACCAAAATGGAGCGGCCCTTATAGAATTATAGAAATTAATACCCCTGTTTTAACAATTAGGGAAATAAATACAGATAAAATAACAAAAATACACATGGATAAAGCAAAGAGGCTTATACAAAATTATTTAACACCACTTAGAGATATATAAAATAAAAATAAAGGGAAAAATAATAAATAAAAACATAATCAAAATAATCAATTTAAAATTAAAGGAAAAATAAATTAAAATTTTTTAATAAATAATTTTTAGAAAAACACAACAACATACGTAAGTTTATATTAATGGAAGTTAAAATAAATAGAAAAAGAAAATTTGGGGAAGAAAAATTAATTGAAAATATAGAAATTGTCCGACCAATACTCATTGACTATTATTTTACAAAATGCATTATTTCAAATATTTTCGAATGTAATTACATAACTCCCCTCCACGTGGAAAATGCAAATTTAGTTTATGAAATTTTCGAGCCAACTAATATGTGGGAGGGGAACCAAACTCTAGAAATAGTGGGCAGGGCGGAGGCCGATATTTTTGATGGGGATAATGTGGCTAAAATAACATTTAGAATTGTAAGTGGAAAAATGAAAACGGGACAATGTTTTTCAGAAATTATTTTAGGAAGAGAAGCCATTCTAATGTGGGAAAATAAAGGGTTCCGACCATTAGAACAAGCATTCAAATGTATCAAATGCGGCCAGCCCGAAATCGGCCCCCAATAAAAAAATATATTAAATAAAAATAAAATAATTTAAAATGTCTTTTAGTAATAATTATAAAGGAAAATTCTATTTTTTTATTTTTTTGACAGGTAATGGAAGGACACCCGTTCCCAAAAGTTGAGTATAAAGGTAAACAGGTAATCCCTTTTTATGGTAGAAACCATCCCTTTAGTAATTTTTTCCCGTCACCCGTTAATGTTTGGGGAATTCAGTTCACATGTAGTGAACAGGCATACGCATTTTCGAAAGCTTGGTTTTTTGGGGATGAAATGAGTAAAAGGAAAATAATGTTAGAAATTCACCCCCATGATATTAAGAAATGTAGCAGAACTATTAAAAATTTTAAAAGAAAAGAATGGGATGAGGTGAGTGAAGGGATGCTTTTTGAAGTGGTAAATGCCAAATTTCACCAAAATAAAATTTTGGCACAATACCTTCTTGAAACAAATAATATGCAATTGATTGAAGTAAATCCTTTTGATACACGATGGGGAGTGGGTATAACAATTGACCAACTTAAAGTGGGAAAACCTTTACGCGGGGAAAATAAAATGGGACATATACTCGAAAAAGTTCGAGAAAATTTAAAGGGAAATAAAAATAAAATACCATACATAAACCATAAAATACCAATCCCGAAATTACCTGTCAATAAAGTAATTAATACTACCCCAAAAATATTTTTTAGATAAATATGAAAATTAAAAATATCAGTAAAAAAAATAATAAAATAAAATAAAAAATTGAAAAAATAAAAAAATACTACAAAAATTTTAGAATTAGGAAATAAAAATATAAAAACACAAAAAAACATTAAGATAAAATAAAATACAAAAATAATTAAATAATTTTTCTTAATAAAATAAATATTTTTAACTCTTTATGTTATTATTCGTATGTGGTTTGTTGAAAAAAATAATAATAAACAAAAAATTGAAAAAGAGAAAAACCAAAAATAATATTTTTGTCTAAAATTTTTATTTACACGCTTCTGTAACAGAGACAATTTTTTTAATTTTTTTTATATTTTAGTCCGCTTTTTTCCGACTTCCGTTTTATAAAAAATTCAAATACAAAATTATCCATATTTGTTTTGTGTATGTGATTTTGAAGTTATATATTTGTAGTTTGTTTAAATTGTAATATTTAAAATTAGTTTAGACAAATTTAAATTTTTAGCGACGCAGGCGAAATTTTCATTAAAAATTCTGTTTCAAAAAATCTAGATTCGATGCTTTCAAAAAATGTTAATATAATAGCTTAGCGACGCATTTAGAAAGTGTTAAAATATTTGGATTATTTTTCGGACATCTTAGATAAATGGGGTAACAGTGACCAATTCTTGATTATATTCTGAATAAATTTTAATTAGAAACTAAAACAAGACGGCGTAGATCTAAGACCCACCACCAAAAACGGCGTAGATCTAAGACCCACCACCAAAAACGGCGTAGATCTAAGACCCACCACCAAAAACGGCGTAGATCTAAGACCCACCACCAAAAACGGCGTAGATCTAAGACCCACCACCAAAGACGGCGTAGATCTAAGACCCACCACCAGACGGCGTAGATCGAAGACCCACCACCTGTATATCCGAGCCATACCCAAGCACTGGTCACTGTTACACATACAATTAATTGAAAATAAAAGAAAATAAAAATACAAACAAAACTTTTCTTAAAACCTTATAATCAACCACGTTTGGCACATAATTAAGGTCATATCAAAGTAAATAGTAAAATAGTATTTTAAAAAAATAATTTAAATTTTCAAATGATATAACCTTAAATATGCCCATTTATTGCCTCTTATTTATATGTATAAGAAAAGTATTGTTTTGTAGTGTGTATCTAATTCGGAAAAATGGAAAAAATAATAAACAAAAACTAGACAATATACACACACGAAAAAATTTTTTGAGATTAAGTCTTACTATATAAAGTTCGAGTGCAGCAGAAAAAATCAAATTTAGTTTCAGTTCCCTCGAACTTTAAATAGTAGATTAATCGAAACGTTTAATGTCATTTTATATATACCCACCCAAATATCACAATTGTAATTTCGATAATATAAATAATAAGAAAAAAAAGATGTCAGAAGACAAGAATAAACACTAAAAACAAGACAACTACAAAATCTAATCAAATTCAAATCTGTCAGACAACAAAAACTACATCAACAAACTTGACAACTCCATTTCAAAACAACAACAACAAAAAAAAAGCAAATCAAATAAAACAAAAACCCTTTTTTTCGGAAATTAAACCAAATTAACCCAAAAATACTAATAAAGAAAATTAATTTGAAAAATTAATGAGAATTACAAAACCATTTTAGTTATATGAAAACTTTAAGAAACAGAATAATTAAAAGCGCCATATATACATATAACTAAAAAAGAGCATTTAAAATGGGAAAAAAATAAATAAATGAATAAATAAAATTTTTTTTGGGTTTAAATAGTGGAAAAATTACTCAAAGTTCAAAATACCGAAAAGTCAAAACATCAAAATGTCAACACATCAAAAATTTTAAATTTAATGGAAAGTTGAGGACAACTTAAATTTCAGGAGGGATGGATGTAATACATCACTCTCGACTGGAAAAGAAACTCCTCCCACTTTGAGAAAGATATAAAGCTTTATATTCTCTTTTTAGTGGTTCCTTTTTTTTCCCCCTATTGTTCTTTTTGGCTTTTGCTGGCGGAACCACGCTCGCCAACATTATATTTAATTTTCGGAAATAAAATTTAATTGGAAATGTTTTTCTTATTTGTTTATTCATAAAGTCCCCAGTGCTAACCCTTACACTTTTAATGATTTTCTTGTGAACAAAACGAGGAAAAGTATAAGTTCTAGGTACAGAAAGTCAATGTTTCTGAATATTTATTAGTGATTAAGCTGAATCTGGACCAAGGCCTGGGTTTTTCCTGTGCAGACCCAGGCATTTTTTGACCTTCCTGGATTTTTCCTGGGCCTGGGTTTTTCCTGGACTACAGGTCCAGGATCCGGTCCAGGTCAATAAATCAAACTCAGAACCCAGGAACAGGCCCAGGCTTTTCAAAAATCTCGATTCGACTAATTATATCCACTTAAAAGTCTAGTCTAAACTCGAACCGTACTCTGTCAAAAATCAAAAGCACTCCCGTTTTAAATGTTTCATTTAAAATCTAGAGGGAGCTTATCATATTCTCAAAGTATAAACATGAGAACAACACGTAACGTAAAATAAATTAATTAAAAATCAAACCAGTAGATTGCTAACTTGTGAAAAGCGCATTTTATCCACAATAAATTCTTTTGCACAAGGAGAACTTCTTATAACAACTTCAGCCTCAAATTCAATGTCCACATTTTCTAAGCATTTTAAACGGACTTCTACTTCTGTTTTGTTTAGAGAAGATTGAAGAAAGCCCAGATATTCTTGCTAAAATCAGTTCTTATTTTCGAAAAAAAATTTTGGTAATAGAAAGGAAGTTGCCCCCGTTACTCCCCTAGCTTCATAATTTTGGTAAGAATCATCAGATCTAGCCAATCTTGGTATCTTTCGTCCAAGCTCGAAGAGCTTGTGGTAATAATTCGGATGAGACCCCCTCCTTTTTCCTTTCTAAAAGTATTAAAAAATGGTCAGTCAGTCTTAATGTTAGGTTATAGAACTCGTCGAGCTGCACCTCCCGTTCCAAAGTTAAGACCAGGGGATGATTTTGGTGTCAGTCGTCGCTCGACGAGTTCTATAACCTAAGACTGACTGACCATTTTTTAATACTTTTAGAAAGGAAAAAGGGGGGGGAGGGGGGTCTCATCCGAACTATTACCGAGCTCTTTCGAAAGATATATAATAAATTATATATAAAAAAGCTCAAAATGGTCAGAGGAATCGGAAAAAAGGAGGGAGGTCGACTTCCAAACTATTACCGAAATTTAACAAGAAATTACCGATTTTGGCATCAAATCAACTTTTTCGGTCATAATTCCAGGAATAAGTAAATTAGTCGTTGTTAGCCTCAATAATTGTAAAATTAAAATAAAAAAGAAAATAATATTTAGTTGCATAATTTAAATTTAAGCTGAAGAGAAAATTTATTTTTGGGTCTAAAATGGGTATTTTAAAGTTTTTTGGAAAAAGCAAAAAATAAAAACGCTTAATCATTGAAAGAGTAAACATTCAAAAATGGCTAAATATCCACGTGAATTTGAGGGATTAATTATTCGATAATGGAAATGAAAAGTCAATGAATTAAATTTGAGGTTTGGGCAAAAAAAGAGAAAATATCCACATTTCGGGGCACGCCCAAAACGGCGCAGGGCCATAACGGCGCAAAGCCATAACTTGCTTCAAGATTTTTTAATCCTACCAGATTTAGTATAAAACGATTCCTCTCATTGAGTTAAGGAGATGGTACCAAAATTGACAAGGGCAAAACATTTTCCAGCAAGTTATGGTTTTGCGCCGTTATGGCCACGCGCCATTTAGGGTTGTACCCTCCAAATTTTGAGAGTTTTTGTGAAATAAAAAATAAAAGATTTAAAGAAAATTTAAAAGAAAGGTTGTCATTCCTGAACAAAAATATAAAAATAGTGTTTAAGATGCAAAAACATAAAAGGATTTGACGTGTTTAACAAGTTGGCAAAATTCAAAGAAAATTTAAGAGTATTTATCGAAACGATTTCTTTTTATAAGATTTTTTAAAAACGGTTAAGGACGATTCAGTATCGCCGATTCAGTATCCGCCGATTCAGTATATGGCCATAACTTTCCTGATATTCGACCGATTTGAATAATTCTCATATCATTCGAAAGGTCTCAAGATTCGACATCTTTTTCATAATTGGCCCGATCTGATCTGATGATCACAAAAAAAGTTACAGCGTGAAAACCGATTTTTTATGCCTGTGACGTCGTTTATCAGTGATAACTTTTTGTAGAGTGATCAGATCAGGGCAGTCCAATTATGAAAAAGATGCAGCACCCCGAGACCTATCAAATCATATATAATAATTCCTACAATATTGATCGAGCAAAAAGTTATGGCCAAAAAGCACAGATACTGAATCGGCCAATACTGAATCGGCGATACTGAATTGGCGATACTGAATCGGCGATACTGAATCGTCCCCTACCCTTTAAAAAGGACGTTTGAGTATCACCGTTTGTTTCCGTTTTCGGCCACGTCCCATTGTTCGTTGAAATGTGCTAGCAGCAATTTAATAATTAATTTTCGTGTTTTGCCTAGTCGTCCTTAATTATCTTGTCAATTATGCCGTATCCACATTCTTGCTCTTCTTTACCAACTCAATCAGCCCACCAAAGACATCAACTAAGTGATTTTAATCAACAAATTCTGAAAGGAATGACGGCTGGTATTTTGGCTGCGGCTATTTCAAAAAGTGCAGTGGCACCGATGGACAGAGTTAAATTGGTTTTGCAGGTTTTATTTAATTGTTTTTTGCTTGTTTTAAATACTGGGAATTTAGATTAAGGTTTTTATTCTGGGGGTTCTGATAGAAAGGCTGGTGATAGTGAACCGGAAGACCCCCTTTTTTCCTTCCCAATTCTCCCCTATATTTTTGCAAAATGGCCGGACTTTTTTCCTTTCTTCCATCCAAAAATGGGAAATAAAATATCAAAAATGATCCTTTCTGTTTGATTGCAGGCAAAAATTAGAAAGGCAATTTGGATGGAAGAAAGTAAAAAGTCCGACCATTTTGCAAAAATATAGGGGAAAAATTGGGAAGGAAAAAAGAGGGTCTGTCCGGTTCATTATTTCCGAAAGACTTAATTTTTGAATTCACTTATCTTGAGTGCCCTTTTCTGGCATTAAACAATAAGGAAAAAGATCCTTGCCCAGTACGAATTTGCAAAAATATTTCGTTATGTCTTTAGAGACAACCGCGATTTTTTGAATTACCCTTGATTAGTCTTCTTATTTCTTTCAACTTTTGAGTATATTTATTCATTTTAGCTCCAAACAATCACATCTCGTGCAGAAATTGCTATTTGCCATCGACAGCCTTATCAAGGAATTTTTGACTGTTTTCGACGTTTATGTGCCGAGCAAGGCTTTCGTTCTCTATGGCGTGGAAACTCGGCTACAGTGATTCGCTGTATCCCAAATCAAGCACTCAATATGTTGTTTAGAGACAAATTTCGGATTACTTTATTGGATGGAATTGATTGGAGGGATAGACCTTTTAGATTTGTTTTAGGTATTTTCTACTCATTTTTGAGCTCCCAGGAGCTGAATTCTGGGTTTGATTTCGTATCCTTGGTTTTTAGTAGGTTTGGCGAATCAGGCTCCGGAAGAAGTTGGTTCGGATATTTCGGTTTCGATACTGATCCGGGGATTTCACAGTATCCGCCAACTTTACAATTAGTTTGGAACCCAATACGTAAAAAATGCTTGGGGTCTGGCTATTGCTAGAAGAGTAACTTATTATCAGTCCTTGGCTCACAATTAGAACCACCTCAATCTCTATTATGTTGAATTTTAGGAAATCTAGCAGCAGGCGGTGCCGGTGGTGCATTAACTTTACTAGTCGTTTATCCTCTCGATTTGGCACGGACTCGTCTAGCTGTTGAACGAGTTGACTCTGTCCGAAGTATTTCACAATGCTTTTCTTTGGTTTCTGCAAATGAAGGGTTGTCTGGACTTTATCGAGGATTTTGTGCTTCGCTTGTTTTTACTGTTGTTTCAAGGGCTGTATTCTTTGGAATTTTTGATTCTATTCGTCTTTCCATGGATGAGCAAAGAAGACGAAGACTTAGCTTTTTTACTACTTGGTCGTTGGCACAGGTTTTTTTAAAATTAAATTAGTAGAGATCGGAAATTTTAAAAACCTTGATTCTGATTGATGACTCCGACCAGATTTTTAACGTTGAATCAAGCAAAAATTTGATCTGGATTAGGGTTGGGATTTCGATTCGGGCCGTCGTTCGAGTCATTTTTTCGGGCCTCATTTTTATAGGGCCGGCCGACCGTGTCTTCGGGCCATAATTTGATGCCCGACTCGATCTTTCGGACTGGACCGGACCCCCACCCCTAGTTTGGATCCAGATCCGGGCCGATCTCTATAAATTAACTAAAGTTTTAAATATTCAATAAATACTTTTAAGGCATCTCTTATTGTTTCTTCATTGCTCTGTTATCCTTTAGACACTGTTAGACGTCATTTAATGATGGAAGCTGGCCAGAGCAAAAAACTTTACAAAAATCAATTTGAGTGTTGGAAGGGTATTTTATACAATGAAGGCCCAAAAGCTTTGTACAAGGGAGCACTAACAAATTCGTTAAGATGCACAAGTGGGGCGCTTATTTTGGCGGTATATTATGAGGTATTAAAATATTTATAGTGGATTGGAGACGCCGTTTAATGTTTAATTTTGACTCGTTTGATTTATTTTTTTGGTAGATTTTATGTTAGAAAGGGTGTATCCAGAGAAGGTTTCAGAAAGTAGGGGGGGAGGGGGATAAAAAAATTCTGATTTTTCCTCTTTCCAATACTTTTTTTCATTTTTTGCCCCTTATCTTTCTTCTGGATAACCCTATGGAATTTAGTATTTATTGAACAGTGTTCTTTCCGGTTATCAAAAATTAAAAAAAAATTTTTGAGCATAAGAAAGATTTATTTCTTGTAACCCAAAGAACGCTGCTTAAAATAATTACCTATTACCTTTTTTCATTTGTCCTTTTCAATTAAAAATACAAAAAATATTTACGTGCCTTTTTTTAAAAATTTTATTTTTTTAAATACCGTATTTCTTCTAATAGTGCGACCGGTCGGGATTTTCAACCTTCCCTCTATAGGGACGGTATATAGGCAGCGATAAAAGAGTTTAAAAGCAGATTTCTTGAAAATAACACCAGATTTGGTCGTTTCACCGTCAGGCCTATCTAGGAAAAAACAGGCATTTTGCCTAAAATCCTACCTGCAGTTATGATCAAAAGTTTGATATCTTGGGTTACATATTTCAATTTTGGTTTATAACTAAGATAAGTGGTCTAAAATACGCTTGTTTATCATAATATTCATAATTATGAACAAAATTAAGTGATAAGAGTGTTAGTTATACAAAAATAGGTCTATTTAAAATTTTGCTTCATTCGTACTCGCGGTTTTCGAGTCCTATCCTAGTTGGGAGGATGTCACATGCCATTCGAAAGCTAATAAATCGGCCTTCAAAACGAACTATAAATTGGTAAGTTAAAAAATTTTTATGTGCCAAAAATATTAGGTGCTGAAATTTTGGACCCTTTATTCTGAAAATTTTTGTTGATTCGATTTTTTGATTTTAGACATTTTTCTGACATAATTCTGATAATTGGTATCAAATCATATTATCAAAACTATTAATCATATCGTTAGTAAGTTTAACGAAATGATAATCTTTATCTAATTGATAGATTTTGATTGATGGATTAAAAATATAAGCTTTGGCCGAATTTCTATGAAAATTAAAATTTTGCGTTGGACAGATATTATTAATTCTTGTTTTTGGATAAAAGGCTATATCAACCAGAAAATTAAAAAATATTTATATAACTTATAGTTTTAAAATAAAATTTCATTAATTTTCACCATCTTAATAAATAAAGTTCAATTATTGAAAGATAATACTTTGTATCATGTAAAAAACATTTCTATATTTGAATAATTAGATCATATTTTAGAAATTACATTTATTTCGATAATATCACATTTTGAATTAAATCAAAAAAATCATTTTCAGAAGTATTTTTATCCTATACATTATTCCATTTATTATCTTTGCTTAATCTTGCTTGCAAAATGTCTGGAGAAATACAATATTCATTTCTGATACATAGATACTAATGTAGATAAAAATGGGAAAGTTTTGTATTTAATTTATAAAATTTTTTTATAAAATTCGTTTGTTAAATTCTCGTTTTAATTCTTAAAAAATAATTTTTTTATTAAGCTCAAAACAAGCTTTTCTAGTTGCGCTTTATATCTATTTTTCGCGATGTGACGCATCCGCGTTAATAATTCTTCATTTTCTTTATTATTAACGCGAATGTAAAAACAAGTAATTCTCTTTATTTGTAAATAAATTTTGGGTGCGCCGCAGGCAGCCTGAATTCCTTTCCTTTCATTCCTAAAAAATGGGTGCCCGAGGCGCACCAAACCAAAAATTCTTTATTTGATTAGAATTTAGAATAAAGAGGCAATCAGTGATCAAGTTAGACCCCTTAAGTTTGAAAAGAGAAGGAGTAAGCTCATTTTGGGGTGAAAAGTTCAAATATGCAAATAATAGCTCTTTCGAAACTGCTCGTCGAGCTGAGTCGAATGACACCAAAATCAGCTCTATTGAACAAAGTTAAGACACAAAGATTTTTAGTTTTCATTTTTAGTGGCGAATATGATTAACGGTGTGCAACAATGTAATAAAAATTCTGTTGTAGGAACAAATAGTGAGTTTATTTAATTTTGTGTTTTAAAAATAAAAAGGCCTTTTCCTTAATTGAAATATATCGAGGGATTAGAGGCTATCGGTGAATATTTAGGAATTAATCTTCAGATATCCTCTGATATCCGCCCATATATCCCGTGGTATCCGTCCATATCTATAAAATAATGTCCATATCCTTCACTCCCTTAATTCCCTAATCCTTCACTATATCTATAAATCACTGATATTTTTTGAAATCACACTTAATCCCTCCAAATCCGCTTATATCTATAGATATACACTTTAATCACTTCAAATATCCTTTACTCACTCCAAAGTCCCTTATATCGCTTTAATCCCTCGTCATCCTCCATATTTTTGCATAAATGAACGAAAATTATAAATCGGAATAAAGTCAACCCTTCATCATTTAAAAAATGTTTTTTTACAAAAAACAAAAAAAATTTTTGTGAAAATTCTTTTATTTATATATAAAAAAGAATTCATTTGATTGGAATTTGATTGGAATTTAGAATGAAGATAGCCATATAGCCATTTTTTATAAAATTAATTTTAATTTTATTTTTTTGTTGAACTTTTTTTAAAAAAATTTTTTTTAATTTAAATTATTTTTTAATTATTTTAAATTAAATTATTTTTTTCTAATTTTTTAAAATTGTTAAGCTACGCTTACATACAAATCGCTCGCGACACGCGACAGTCGCTAGGCGACATGTTATGTAAGCGCAGCATTAATAAAAAAATTTTTTTGAATTTCTAGTGATAAAATGCTTAACAGTGTTCAACAATGTGTTAAATCCATCGGAGGAGGAGAAATTGTGAGTTTAATTTTGGATTTTTAAATAGGTTATACTAATGTTGTGACTTATGGGGGTTTTTTGTTGGCGACGGAAAAATAAATAATAATCTTATTTTTGTTTAACCATTTCATTTGTCGAGAAGAATTGATAGACAAAATGTCTTATTAAAAATAAAGAAAAATATTTATGAGCTAAAATTAGGGGTGCTATCATTTATATCCAACTTTAAGCTAGTTCTAATAAAAACATTTAAAAAATTTTTTTTTAATTTCTAGTGTATGGAATGTGCGGTCAGAAGGCAGGATGTTTTAAGTGCATCACATCCTGGTGTGAGCTCAAAAGGGGCTAAAGGGTTAAGCAGTGAAGAACGGGAATACGCTTTGGACACTTGTCAAACAAGGAATACTTATTATGTTGCACCAGGTGTATAAGCTTCTGATGTATGGAATGTGCGGTCAGAAGGCAGGATGTCTTAAGTGCATCACATCCTGGTACAAAAAACAAAAAACTTTTTTGTAAAAATTTTTTTATTTATATATAAAAAAGAATTCACTTGATTTGATTGGAATTTAGAATGAAATATCCATTTTTTATAAAATAGCCATTTAATAGAAAAAATAGGTTTTTATATAAGATAGCCATTTTTTATAAAATTAATTTTATTTTTTTGTTTAACTTATTTTTTTTTAAATTTTTTTAATTTAAATTATTTTTTAATTATTTTAAATTTAAATTATTTAATTTTTTTTAATTTTAATTAAAAAATTAATTTAAAATTCAATTAAAAATTTTTTTTAATTTTTTAAAATTGTTAAGCTACGCTTACATAAAAGTCGCCCGCGACACGCGACATGTTCAATATGCTTTGAGGAGGGTAAGCTTCTGATGTATGGAATGTGCGGTCAGAAGGCAGGATGTTTTAAGTGCGTCACATCCTGGTGTGAGTTTAAAAATTACTCTTATTTCGATAATATCACATTTTAATTTAATCAAAAAATTCATTTTCAAAAGTATTTATCCTATACATTATTCCATTTATTATCTTTGCTTAATCTTGTTGCAAAATGTCTGGAGAAAATACAAACTATAATATGATTTTCATTAAGTCATGGACGATATTACTAAAACTTCTTCTGAAATTTTTGAAATGTATATTTATTTTTTTCTTATATTTAAAGCAGGATTTTATTGAATTTAATCGCACAAACTATAAGTTATATGCAATGGTGTTATGTTTTTAAATTTATCAGATACTAGTGGTCGGTTTATTTTTTCAGTGTTCGGTTTATTTTTCAACCTTCCTCTATAGGGTCGGTTTATTAGAAGGGGTCGGTCTAATAGAGACAGTCGGTATATTTTTCAATACTGAAAACCCAACCAGGATGACCGATTCTGAACCGCTAATGTATCAAAAATAGGGTCAAGTATCCATTACATTGTATATGTATGAATCGTTGATGGTCGAGGATTGCCTTTGACATTGTATTCCTATTTTTAACGGCGCATTCCAGCACAAGTCTGGGGCCTAGGTTTTCTGACGATTCTGTTTAACTTCACGTTAATACCAATCACTCCAACATAATGTTCTACAAATGGACAGTGGTGCAAAAAATTACGAAAACACTTATTCCCTCAAAATCTTTCGCTATATATCTTACTCCCCTTAACCGCTTAAAATCCTCTTATATCTTTCGATATTTCACCATATCCACCGATATCCTTCTTGGTGTCCCACAATAAGACTTGTTTTAAGTTACTGAGTTTAAATGCCCCGCATTTTACTTAATCTTACAATAATTTGGTTATTTTTTGCGTAATTTTTAATTCTTTTTTTTGAAAATCCGGATCTAAAAAAATCCGGTTTTCCGTATTTTGATTCAGAAAATCCACGCCGGATAAGGAAAATTTCTAAAATCCGGAAACCGAATCCTGCATTTTTCAGATTTTGCTCTATAAAAGAATATGGCTATAAAACATAAAAGACGCCACATTAAAGTGGGTCGGTTTAATAGAAGGAGTCGGTCTAATAGAGACAGACTATTTTTCAATCTTCTTCTAGGGGGTCGGTCTATTAGAGGGAGTCGCACTATTAGAAGAAATACGGTACTTTTTTCATTTGTCCCTTTTCGTTCAAAAATAAAAAATATTTACATGCCTTTTTTAAAGATTTATCTTTTTTAAATATTTGCTCAATTTAAATATGTTATTTAAGACAAAACATAAATTTCTAAATATATATTTTATTTTTTATTAAAATTTTTTGTTAATAATTTTTACAGATATAATTTTAAACAACAAATTGACCTTTTTCCAAAAGTATTTATTTTTTTAAATTTTTTAATAACTAGGGGCGGTTCAAGACTTCCTGTCTCCTCCCAACAATGATTTTTAGGTTGTTCTCCGACACATCCGTACGTTATTTCCCAACATTGTCGTAAATTTTTGTTTCTAAAGGAGATGTCCCCGACTTCCCTTTCTCGTCCGACAATGGTTTTAGGTAGTTCTCTGATCCAGATCCCCAAATGTTAGTTCCTAACATCGCCATTTCCCATAAAAAATAAATGGAGAATCTGGGGAAATTTCCATGTGGATATGAAACCATATAGAGATCGGTTAAGATCATGAATCTTGTCCAGGTTACTAACCTAAATCCAGATCCAGAGTCCAAATCCATGATTTTTTAAAATACTGATCTCTATAATATCACTGTCAAAAAAATTTTTTTCTCCCCATTCCTCATCAATTTTAAGCACGTTTTCAATTTACGCCTAAATGATTTTTTCGCTAATTTTTAAATTAATTGATGAAAATTTTCTTTTTCACAATTCATTTCCCCTTTAATCAATATATTAACATTTTTGTTAAAAAATAATATTAAACTAATCAGTCAATCGTTTTCCTTAAGGCGATTTGCAGCGAAGGGGAATTAAATAAAAATAGTATATTTGATTGGCCAGACGCTCTAAATAAATATATTTCTTAATTTTTCATGCGTTGCACAAATAACTGTACACAAATTTATTTTCTTTTTTTTTCTAATCATTCTCTCTCCTATTTTTTTTTAATTTTATTTTTAAAAATCGTGTTTTTGTTTATTATATTTTATTTTTGTCATCTTATTTTCGGCAAAAATTGTTGTTTGTGACCAAAACTTTTTTTATCATCCTCTCCCTTCTAACTAAAATTTAAATTCTGATTTATTACTAAAGCAAAAATAAGGGAAATTAAAAGAAAAATGGGTAAAATTCTGTCATATCACCCGGAAACCGATTCGGACAAAATATATGTCATTCGAAAGAACTCGTCGATCTGTGTTGAACGACACCAAAATTAGCTTCGGAACTCGTTCGGGGACCTATATCTCGGCTTATAGACGAGTCCCGAAGCTAATTTTGGTGACGTTCGACTCAGCTTGGTGAGATCTTTCGAATGGCAAATCATTTGTCCGAATCGGTTTCTGGTAGATATGAGGAATTTTTCCGAAAAATGTATGCCACAAACGACAATATTACCATGTTTTCTTAAAAATTTTATTTTTTTCTCAGAAAATATTTAAATTTTAAGTATTTCCCTTCTTTTACTCATCATAACACAAAAAAAACTCTTAAAACAAAATTTCTTTAATGAATCACACGTTTTTAATTTTTTCTTTTAAACACGAGACAACCGAGAAAAGGTAAAAAAATAAAGGGGGGAATTTGGCGATAAGAAACATAAAAATATTGAACACTAAATTAAAAAGTGTGTTCAATCTGCAAATTAAAAGTTTGTTTGGCTTCCTTTTTATTTGAAAATATCCCCTCTTTTTTTAACCTTTTTAAGTGAAAGAAAGTTTGTTAAGTCAAATGTACTATTTCTTTCCGGAAAATTATCTTTTTTTAAACTTTCCGGATGCAGACTTTGCCGGAAAGTTGGAAATTTTCCGTAAATAATTTTTTGATCTTTCCAAGGTTTTTGATTTTTATCCAAATTCCCGGATAATTTTCTGCAATTATAGACTCTTTTTGGTTATGTTGCCCTAAAATCCGCAAGTTTTTTCCCTCACAATTTATTATTCAGTTTTTCAAAAATTTATAGGATTATGTAGGAATCAAATGTTTACTAAATTTCTATCTGAACTTTAAATTTGTTTAAGAATTACACTAAAAATAATCCTTTTAAAAAAATTAAGGTAAAATTTAAGTCCGTTTCCCCCCTCTAAGATCACGACTACACCCCAAGACCGAAAAAACCCCAAGTTATGTCCTGAGTCAAGACCAAGAGTCTTGCAAGCCTCTGGGAATTAAGAAAGAAAAATTTGATCATTCTGTACAAATTAAGAGAGGGAGGGGGTGGTAAGTTTTAATTACCAAAATTAATAAAATAAATTTTAGAAAGAAACTTGCGGATTTTGGGGCAACCTGCAATTACTTTTAATTAGTTTTTTTTTGAAACTTCTGAATATTTAAAACAGAAAAATAAATTTCAGGAGGAAAAAAAAATTAAATTCCAACAATTATACTTTTTTTTATTTTAATTATTTAATTACTGCGTGATTCCTAATCAACATGCCACCACTCATTTTTTTCTTTTGTTTGCCCCCTTCTAATCTTCAAATTGTAAAAGCACGCGACTTGTCTCTGCGTCATCACGCGACTTTTTTTTTCCTTTTCTTTTTTTAGGATGTCCCCAATATTAATATTTTAACGACTTCTGATTAGAATATATTAACGGTCAAGAACCCATATAAAATAATAAAAGTAAAAAGATAAAATTAAATAAAAAATATTATATTTCTTGAAATAAGTTATAGTAATTAAGTTATAGTAATTTTTATATTTTTCAGTCTTTTTTTTGCGCTAAATAAATAATACATATGTTTAAGATCTAAAATGTTTCAAGACTCAATACGAGACTAGAGGTCGGCAAAACCTTGTCTGCGGAATCCTGAATGTAGGATTAGAAATTTTTTGTCCACCTCCAACAAATGGATTTAGTCAATTTGTTGGATGTGGACGGGATCCCGCGGGATAACCCCGCAAAATTCAGCGCGGGATTCCGTCCCGCACCGACTTTTAAACCAGACTTCACTCTAATCCAAAACCTAAAACTCCCTCAAGTAAAGTCTTGTGTCTTATGTCTTAGCCCCAATAACCCGAAACAGTCTTTTTCACATTTTAAGCCTTTTATTTTTTTTGTTTGTTAAGCACCAAAAATTATCAGAGAAACACTTGAACTTTGATTTCATTAATTTCAGCTTCCACATAGACAGACGCTCTTTTTTCAAACAATTTTTTAATCCTTTTGTTTAAAATTAAATTTCTTAGACTATTTAACAATTTAATTTAACAATTTTTAAACCAAACAGATTATTAAAAAAGAAAAAAGAAAGAAATGTCTCCAGTTCATAGTCCCATTCTTAATTTAACACAAATGCAGCTTTCTTTTGCTGGGTGTGGATTTCTTTGTATTTACCATGCTGGGGTTTGTGCTGCTATTAAAGGTGTTTAATTTTATTAATTTTAAGTGCTCAAGAGTAGTTTTAAAGGAAAAAACAAAAATTATCAGGAATGATTAAAAAAAATTAAATGGAGAAAATATATCTTTTTATTACACCAATCTTAAATAAAATTAACTCGTGGAGATTATTTTGGTTGTATTTTCTTTTCCTATTTTCTCCTGATAATTACAAATTAGGGATCGGATCGATACGATATTTTTTCGATATTTTTATAGCGAATATCGACCGACCCCTCATGCAGATCTCTATTACAAATGATTAAGAGCAGATATTAATCAGACAAATATTTATAAATAGACCCAGTCTGAGTTTTCCAGACCCAGAAATCCCCCGCATAACTGAGAAACTTGAAGAATAGATTTTATAAAAACATACGGTTTCTGTAATATGGGAAAGACCCGTTAATTAGCCCGAACGGATTCGAATCCGATTTTTTAGAATTAATTTAATCTGTTTAATTATGCATTAAGGATAATTTTTAAGAAATAAAAATGTTTTATTTTATTAATTGAAAAATTTATTTTAGAATACGCCCCACAACTAACTCTTAATCGGATAAAAGGAGCTTCCGCAGGTGCAATTGCAGCTGCTGGTTTAGTTTGTAATGTGTGTATGTCACACGCAACCAGTACAATTTTGCAAATTGTTACTGAGGTAGAAATATTTTGGTAAATTTTGTAAAAAAATTTGAGTTAATTTCCTCTATTCTCCCAAAAGTTTGCGAATTTTGTTCGCAAATCAGACTTGAATCTTTTGTAAATTTATTTCCTTATCAACAAATTATTACGAAGCTTTAAAGTTATTCCTCTTGTAAATTACGAACATTTTGGAGGATTAATGAGAAGAAACAATTTTAGCTAGTAATTTTAGTTTGAGTTCTAACTGGGGATTTGGTTCTTGACCCGATAGTATTATAAAAGGTCTCTAGAAAAATTTAAAGGAAAAAGTACTGATTCCGGCATATAATTTAAAATTATTTAAAAATTAAAATTCTTAATTTAATTTTTAAAGGCGCGTGCTGGTTCTTTACTTGCACTTTCTCCCAATTTTGATGTTCTTGCACTTGTTCGACAAGGACTTGAACAAACATTACCAGAAAATGCCCGTAATTTCTCTTTAAACTTTTTCAAATTCCTTAAAAATCCCCTACCAGATATTCTCTGTACTGGTCGACTTTTTATTTCCGCTACACGGGCACGGGATTACAAAAATGCGCTTATTTCTGAATTTGTCTCTCGTGAGGAGTTGATAGAAGCACTTTTGTGTTCTTGTTTCATCCCTTTTTATTGTGGAAGAACTCCGCCAACATACCGAGGAGAGCAGTATATTGATGGGGCTTTTTCGGATAATCAGCCAGGAAAGTGGGAGCCTGGCACTATTACGGTGAATTTTAAATAAGACCGGTAGGACCTCATTAACACAGTTGGGCGAAAATTTTGAAGGGCCAAAAAATCCGAATTCTTCATTTTCCGCACAACGGGTAACACTTTTCTGAATTGTCATAGATGGAGAAATTCGCTTTTTCGATCATCCCTTTGCCCCTTTTTTCCCCATTTTGTGAAGGTGAATTCTAGCCTCCCCCTTTAGATACCCCTTAATGTGTCAAATAATAAAAATTTAAGGTGAGCCCATTCAGTGGTGAATCCGACATTTGCCCGACTGATGAGGATAGTGCAAGGCAAGTTTAGAAAACTTCACCTTAATCTAAAATTCGAAAAATTTCAGTATGTTCGGCTTTGATATAGCCGGCACTTCTGTTCAGTTCACCACTCAGAATTTGTTTCGTTCTATTGTAATTTTATTTCCTCCTGCACCAGAAGTTTGTTCTCGGATTTGTCGACAGGGATTTGAAGATGCACTTCGTTTCCTGACCAAAAATCGTTGGTCTTTTTAAAATTTTTATTAGAAATTGGGATTTCCGTGGGTTGATTCAGTTTTTAATTTTTACATGAGCCAAGGCCTGAGATCAGGGCGAAGACCTTGAAAACACTTAATTTTTTTCAAAATGCCATAGTCAGGGGCAGTGTTTTACGGGTTGCGTTGATTTTTGGCCTTGCGTTGATTTTTCACGATTGCCTCTTGCGCTCACCCCTGGTCAGGGGTCTGAAAAATGCTGGTCCGGTCCCCTGTCTTGCCCCGAAAACCTATTTTATTCCTGAAAATGGTCAGGCCTGTTCCTGATTCGAACTATAATTTTTACCTTTTCTTAAAAAATTTTCTTACTTATTAAGATCTCGTTCCATGTATTGAATGTTTAACAGTCCAATCAAACGCAATTCCAGTTCCATCAACCCCAACACAAAATATAATTACCAAAAAATCTTTACCAACACCAACAACTGAACCTTTTCTAAAAAGTAATAGAATAAGAATTTTGCAAAAGCAACGGGCTAATAGTGCTAGTCCTGTTAATAGAAGAAGATCAAATGGTTGTGAATTATGTCTTGGACCGTTAGGACGTATTGCCTCCTCTAGTTTTTCGTCTATCCCGTTGCCGTCAGTAGTCCAGAAAAGTGAGTAATTTATTGAAAAAGATTAAAATTGGGGGTGTTTAAAATTTTTTTGCCGAAAATTAGCCGTTTCAAGTCAATTTCTGAAAAAAAGTTTTCGAAATAACGTCTGTTTTGACCAAAATCCAGATGTATAATACGCTACGGATGTCACATGTCTTAAAAATCGTTTAGGGTTCCGGGTTGGTTTTTCGAAATTTTTCGGGTCCCATGACACCACTGACCATAATTTATCTTTGTTGGAAAATTGTATCTAAAATTGAGTGTATCAATTGTTAGGGTATTAAGGTTAATCCTTCCCCCAATTATCCTCACCCTATGACCAACTAAATTAAAAACATTAACATATTGAGGTCTAACTGTAACCAAAAATAACTAGTCTTAAACCATTCTAATTAAAACACTTATTTAAAAAAATCTTTAGCTCTAACCGATATGGAAACTCGAAGTGCTGCTGGCTTACTTAGTTGGCTGCGACGTTGGCGTTTGATTAGGTGGTGGTTAAGGTTAATCCTTCCTCCAATTATGTTGCCATTTGAATTAATGCAGTTCGCATTGAGAAAGTGAGAGTTTTTTTGGAAAGTTTTTTGAGAAAAAAAATTTTTTTTCACTTCAGACTTCGTGCACGAATTAAAAAAAGTATTTTGGCCCCAACAGAAGCTATCCTTCTCCGTTTCCAACACTTGATAGATTTTATTCTCCAACAAATTGAGAATAAATATATTGCCCCCTCTGCTGTAATAGCTGTTGGTTCCCCTTCATTAATACAAATTACGGAATCACAAAAAATAAATGAAATTAAAAATGAGAGAAAGAAGTCTATAGCTTCTTTACAAAGAAAAATTTCTGCTTCAATAGAACCTTTAGATTTGGCAATTGATAATTATAAAAATGTTGATAGAGGAAATAAAAAGGTTATTGAAGAGGATGAGGTAGAGAATGGAACTGGAAATGTATTGCAAAAATTGGTTAATTGTGAAAAGGAAGATGCCATTCTTCAATTTACTTTTAGAGAAGACGAAACTAATGAGGCAAGTTTAATAATTTTATAGTCAGAACGCGCTATAAGGCTCATTTTTTGGGCACATAAAACGCTTAGGCAGCTCCCCTTATCCAATATCCGATATATGTATAGTAGCCCCCTCTGCTGGGCTTATATAGTTTTCCTTATCCAATATCCGTAATAAGTAAGAATTTAAGAATTTACAAAGTAAGAATTAAGTAAGGAGTAAGAATTTACAAAAGTTTAAAATCCCTTTAGGGTCAAAAATTAGATTAGACAAATGATAGCTCATTTGAAAGAGCTCATCGAGCTGAGAGCAAAATCAAAATCACCGTGATTGAACAAGTTTGAACAAAGTTGCGATACAAAAATGAATCAAGTGAACCTCTACTATCCGAAGTGCTTGTTAGGCTTTTTGTATCGTTGTCCAAACTCGTTCAATCACGGTGATTTTGATGTCATTCTTCTCAGATCGACGTGCTCTTTAGATTGAGCTATTATTTTTATATTTGAATTTTTCCCATTCAATTATCCCCCATTAAATTTTTTGACCATTATGAGCTCATCGCTGCTTTTCAGATTTCAAATGTAATAATTTTATAAAAAATATTTTTGCCACTTTTCAGCTCAAAATCTGTCAAATTTTCGATACTAGTTCAAAACATTTACACGAACAACAAAACCACCATTGCCCTAACGGTATTATAAGCTCACATTCAAAATATGAAGGGTCTTTGTTTGATACAGAGGAACAAAAAGGAGGAGAAGATTCGGGACTTTCCTTAGCTGAAGATGAAGTTTGTGAAGATGATAATGAAAAGAGAAAAATACAAATTTATTTAAAAAAGAATAAAAAACGGATTTAAGTAAATTTTTCTTTGATGATTTTATGTTGAAAAATTATTTTTATTTGTATTATTTTTGGCAATCCCGGAGAATTGGGATTTCTTTGAAAATAAATTTTAAAAATAATAAAAAGAATTTTTTTAGTGTAAAAAATATGCTGATTACGAATCTGAGCTCGGATTTTGAAAAAGTCGAATCCCGGACCCGAATTCGGAATATGACCCCGGACCTTCTCGGACATAGTAAAAATGGTCAGTCTTTCATAGGCAGGTAAAACTCATCGAGCTGCATCGAATGACGCCAAAATCAAGAAATCCGACCTGATTGGACCGAGATACAGACCCCTGAATAATGAAAAATCATAGGGGCGATTTTTTGGAGTAAAAAAAGTTTATACAAATGATAGCTCGTTCGAATGAGCTAGTCGAGCTGAGTAGGGCTATGGTTTTTAGGCACTAAAAAGTCAAAATAGGCGCCTAAAGTGCGTTTCAAAATTATAAAAACAAGCATTTTTTCGTGTTACTCTTACTTCCTGTGTACCGATAAAGTTATTGTACCGATTGAGAGCTTATATAAAAAAATTTTAAGGCCCACCAGAAAGCGTTTTGCAGTCTTTCGAATAGAAATTTTTGGATAGAACTTATAAATTTTAAAACCCTACACTTAGACACTAAATTTGAGCGTTTTGAAATCTTCCAAATAGAAATTTTTTAATCATTTTTTTTGTATTTTTTTAACGTTTATCAAAAAACAAAATTTTTAAAACTATTTTTAAAATCAAATAAAAAAAAGTCAAATCTCAGATACGTATTTACTCATTAATTCCTCTCCCTTGAATAATTCCCCATGCCAAGGATGGGTTGAAATAATAATCTCCCTCTCCCAAATACCCTACTCCACGTTCAAATTTTAAAACTCGAATAATTCCCCTCCCTTGAATAATTCCCCATGCCACGGATAGGTTGAATCTTTTTTTTGATATCAAAAAAAAAGGTTGAAAAAATAATTCCCCAGAGGAATTAATCGAGTAAATGCGGTAATGGAATTTCCGTCTTTATCGAGAAAAGACTTGAACTTATACCAAATAGGATACAATGTTAAATAAATTGTTCCAGAAATAATTAGGCGAAGATAAACAAATTGCCGTGAGATAAAATATATAAATTATCAAAAAAAGATTTAACACTAAATTCGTTTAATTTCAATTTCTTTGTTTAAAAGTCCCCCACCAAATATACTAATAGAGAATTTAATTTTTGGATTATATTTGCTAGAAAGTTTGTATATTGATTTTGACATATAATCACGTGCCTTTTCAATCAATTCAGCTTTTTCATTTAAAGTAGTAATAATATTAATATTGGTATTATTTAATACAATTTTATCCGCCATTTTTGAACAATCTTTTAACGTTTCAATATGCTAAAGAATAAGAAAAAATAGAAATTTAATGAATAGTTAAATAAAAATACCAAATTTGGGTTTTGCTATATTCGGACCAGGGTTGTCCCGGATTACTCGAAACCCGAAACCCGATATCCGAAACCCGGACTTTTTTTCGACCCGAAACCCGACCCGAGGAAAATTTTTAAAACCAGACCCGACTTTTTTCTTGACCCATGACATCCCTAATTCGGACCCCCGTTTTAGAAAATAGAATTTAAAAAGAGATATCTACATTTAGGAGCATTGATTGAGAGTTTTAGGAGTAAAGCTACGGTCCTGATTTTCACCAAGTGGTCATTAGTATTTCCTAAAATAAAGAAGTATCTGACTTAGGGGGTATCTAAAATAGACTAATAGAAATAGAGGTTCACTGACGATAGTCCAATGACGTATTGTCCGGTCACGAGGTTACAATACTATTGAAATGAAGATGCTACAAAAAGTTATACAGGAAAGTAAACACGATAATCATTTTCTACAGCATTGTTTAATGTAAGCACAAAAAACCTACATTTATAACCAAATCAGAAAGTTTTGGCATGCCATTTCCGCACACTATTACAACATTGTTAAACTTATCTCCATTCATTAAAACTTTCTGTAAAATATCTACATATTCTTTAATATTATTTTCACGATATAATTGGTAAAACTGGACTCTATAAAGCAAACTGATTGTATGATTCATAGCAAAATTAAAAAAATCTTTGCTATTGTAAGCCTTGGAAAACATTAGGAACGATTGTATAAGATAAAATTGTTTGGAAATTTTTCCAAATAATAATTGAATTAATTTTGGATTGAATATAAAACGATCAAAGATGCCATACTCAAAAGAACATTTAAATAATCTATCCAAATAATAATAAACAATTTTCATTTGATTTTTGTTTGTAATAATGGTTGGTAGTTCTAGTATAACACGATGGAACTCAGAAAACTGAGAACGAACTGAAAAAAATTTTTTGCTTGTTAACCAGGGTTGCCGCCCGAAACCCGTGACCCGAAGATTTTTTGTACCCGCGGCAACCCTGTTGTTAACCTTAGATAAAATGGTACTATCTCAGTATACCGCCACATGTCCGCAAATGCTTGTACGCAGATTTTTCCTTCTTCTTCCATCCGCTCTCTTCTCATAAGGATTAAAAGAATGGTAAAGTTCTACAGTATTTATTCGAGTCGCAACTTGGTTAGAAGGAAGGCCTACTTTTCCCATAAACCTTTTGAGGAAAGAGAAAAGGAAAACTTGTTATTACCGTCTTTTAATCCTTATGAGAAGAGAGAGGATGGAAGAAGAAGGAAAAACCTGCGGACTAACATTTGCGGACATCTGGCGGTATAATGCGATAGTACCGATAAAATAGGGGAAATGAAAGGAAAAAAAGGTTTACACGATTCTATTACCTGTCTTCAGCCCGGAGAGTGAGGTCCGATTTTAATTATTCTTAAAATTTTTTAAATATTGGCGCCGTAAATGTGGTCGGCTTAATTCGTGATATGGATTTATTAATTCGTGATTGTGGATTTCATGATTGGACAGTACAAAAATTAAATTTAATAAAAGGTAATAGTATCCCGCTCTAAGATTTTAATTATTTTTGGATTTCGTACTATTCAGCAGAGGTGGGTCGGAACAGTCAGAGGTGTCGGAAATCGCAACTATCGGAAATGGCTCAAAAGGGAAATCTGAACTCGGAAATAAAAATTTTTTTCGGAAATCGGAAGGAAAAAAACCTCGGAAGTCGGTATTCAGATCCACCTCTGCTATTCAGAAATCTAAGGCAAATGAGGTCATAATTGGAGACTGAAACAGAATAATAAAGATACCAAAATATTTTGAAATTCCTGCTGTAGATAACCAAGTAACAATGTTGGAACCACCTAAATCTTGATCAGGCAAATATAAAGGAATCGGTAATCCACTACTCCACTAAAAAAGAAAAAGAAGAGATTTTGACTTTAATAGCTGTTTAACCTTTTCTTCAATTTGTTCATTTATTTCCTCATGTTGCTTATCAAATAAGGCAAAGTTAAGGTTATTAACGTTTAGTTTAATTATTTTATCAGGATATACATTTTTAATATCGTCCTTAAAAAGTTAAAATTAAATGGTACTATCGCATTATACCCACCTACCCCCAAGTCCGCAAAAGTTTGTCCGCAAATTTTCAATTCCTTTCTCCTTATTTCTTCTCTTCTCTCATAAAGTTTAAAATATGTTCAAGGATTAATAATGGGCAGGAATTCTTTAAATAAGAAAGAGCCCATTATTTTGAACATTTTTTAATCTTCATGAGAGAAGAGTAGTAAAGAAGGAGAAGGAATGAAAAATGTGCGGACAAGCTTTTGCGGACTTGGAGGGGGGGGGATATAATGCGATAGTACCAATTAAATAAATTAAAAAATCTTGTTACAATATAAATTCCATATAATATTTCTTTAGCAAGCTCTCCTTCATATTTATTAATAAAATCATAAAAATATAAATTAGTTTGTTTGATTGAACATAATTGTTTATAATTGAGGAATTTTAAAATGTCAAGCTTAATTTCCGTTGGTAAACAAAGCATTTTTAGAAAATTTAAAATCAATTAAAATGTGTCTAAAAATATTTAAAAATAAATTGATTGGCATAAACGTCTAAAAATATGATGAAAATACTAAATTTTATAAAAATAATTTAATTAGAAAAGTAATGAAAATCAAAAAGAGAAAACATAAAATAAACGAATATCAACAGAATAACGCTACACTGACCCCGACGTAAAGCACAAACTAAATAAAAGGATGGTTTTTATACTAAAGCTAATACCTAACACAGGGTAAGCCCAAAACGGCGCACGGCCATAACGGCGCAAAGCCATAGCTTTCTGGAAAATGTTTGGTCCTTGTCGATTTTAGTATCAATCTCTTTAGCTCGATGAGAAGAATCGTTTGATACTAAATTTGTTAAGATTCGCAAATCTTAAAGCAAGTTATGGCTTTGCGCCGTTACGGCCGCGCGCCGTTTTGGGCGTGTCCCCCTAACACAGTTTTACATTTTTTAAACACAAAACCACAAATGAATACACTTTTTAGATTTTTTAATTTGATTAGCCACTTTGAGCAATGATTCATCTTCCCTTTCTAAATTGAAAAATGAAAAAATATTGGGAATTAAATAAGTGGCAGATTTTAATTGACTTTTTTTGCTCTTTAAAAAATTCCGTCGGTGGACGACCATAAAATATAAAAATTTCTCTGTGAAAATTCTAAAGATATTGAAAAACAAATAAAAAAATTTTTTTTTAACGTTTATCAACAAAAAGTTTAAAAACTGATTTTTTAAATCAAATAAATGAAAGCCATAGCTCGGAAATGGACTTTTCTGAATCCGCTCAGAAATTGACTTTTGGATTTTAAAATTATACTAAACAATATCCAATAAAAATAAGCTATTTCATAATAATTCGGAGAAAAATTTACCAAATTTACCAAAAAAATTGACTGTGGGAGGAGGGGGGGAGTAAATAATAGTGTTCGGCACGAGACGATATATCGACGATATTTTTCGAGATATCGCGAGATTTTTTTCGAGATTATTGATCTCGATCTCGTCTCGATCAGGACAGAAATATCGCGAGATTTTTCGATATTTCGATATTTTTAAAAAAGATTTTTCGTGATAAGTTTTCGCGAAAAATATCACAACAACTAATTAAATAATTGTTTCTCGTTGGAAAATAAATTACAATAAGCATTTTTTTTATTAAATAAAGCTGGATAAATTTTTCAAATCGATTAATTTTAATCTATGAGGTGTCAAAATTTTCAAAATTTTCGCCTGCAGATGCAGATTGACCGACTGAGAATATATTTTTTTATAATTTATGCGTATGGGACGTACACATTCTTTATCTATGTGACCATTTTTAACAGTTTAAAAATGCATAGTACTCTGATGCATAGTACTTTGCTTTACAAATTTTAAAATTTTTGATCATTATGTATTCTGATTATTCTGATTATTTTGTATCTTGACCATTTTTTATTCTTACTTTTTTTATTATCTATTTCAGAATCAATTTGCTAACCTCTCCGAACTTGAAACACATTCAGCACCAGAAATGTGTTTCAAGTTCGGAGATGTTAGCAAATTGACTATTTATTTTATTTCTAATATTTGTTTTGTTTTAAATATTGTTTTGATAAATTTTTAAAATGATTAATACCATAGAGGGGTAAGGGATCATTGAGTCCCGCCGGTTGAGTCCCTGAGCCATATTTTGGGCCATAACTTTTTAAGTTTTCAATGAATTAGAATAAATCTTTTATCATTCGAAAGCCCTGAATGTGAGGATCATTTTTGCCAGCTAAACTGATTTGATAAGATTACTACTAAAAGTTACATCCAGTTAAGTGCGCGTAATCGTGATTTTTACCTTTATTAGGATATAACTTTTTGTATATTGATCTGATCAGATCAATCCTGATAGATAAAATAATCCTTACATCAAGAGCTTTCGATTAAAATATTAATTAACTAAATCGATTAAGAATTGGAAAAGTTATGGTCCAAAATGTGGCTCCGGGACTCAATGATCCTGTTCCGCCATAGAGTTCCACAGGCTCCATGACTTTTCGACAAATTACTTTTCGACAATGAATCTTTCGAAAATGGACTTTTCGACAATAAATTAAAATTTTTTAAAATGATTTAAAAATGACAAATATTGTCATTTTATTCAGTTAGATGATATGGGAATGAAACTAATGAGTACCGCCGATAGTACCGCCGTTTATGATTTGAGGGATTAATTGGATATAGACATTGACCGGGGCAGGACCGGACTCCGGCCGGATTTGAAAAATTCAACTTTTGGTCGTTCCGCCTTTTGGCCGTTCCGTGTTCTGGCAAGTCCGTGTTCTGTCTATTCCTCGTTTTGGTATTGTCCGTATTTTGGTCGTTCCGTGTTTTGGTAATTCCTCGTTTTGTCGTTCCGTGTTCTGTCTGTTCCGTGTTTTGGAATTCCTCGTTTTACCCCTCACCCGAAAAAAATGACTGACCATTCCGTACTTCAACTGAATCGCGGGCTGGGGGGGGGGGGGGGGAGAGAAGACAATAAGTATCCCAGAATCTTTTTGGGTTTTTTAGTTTAGTTAATATTTTTGAAAAGGAATACTTTTCCGAAATTGTCTTTAATTAACTCAGAAAATTACAAATTTTCAATACAAATCTTATCAATCAGAAAATATTTAAGGTTACATAATAGAAATCACAAGTTTAATTTTTTTACTTTTATTTATTCAAATTTCTAATAAATGAATTAAAAATATATTTAAATTAATTTATTCACGAGAAAAACAAAATTAAATAATTATTAAAAAATATTAAAATAATTAATAAAAATTTATTTAATTTATTTATTTAAAATCCAGAATGTTTATTTAAAATAAATTTAAAGTTTAAAGATAAATCAAATCCATTTAATTTAAAAAAATATTTTTTATCGATCCCAATCCAAATATCCCTAATTATCCCAATTTACAAATCCTTAATTATCCCAAATCCCAAAAAATTCCAATTAATTAATTTAATTATTCGGATAATGCATAAATCCCCCAACTTTTAAATTTAGCCATTTTTATTCCATTTATCTCGACAGTCTTATTTATTCGTCTATATAGTTTGCAATATTATTAGCTTCAGTAATCCATTGATGAATATGCATTCTAATTAAAAAGAAATAAAAAATAATTTTAATTTATATACTTTTCTTTATTTCTTAATTCTTTTATTGATTGTGTATCTAATGGATGTTTACCACGAAGATCATAATGATGAGCTGAATCTTCTACAACATAAGAATATAATGAACCAACATTTGTTGTTGTTTGTCTCCATCCTCCACCAGACCAAGGATCTAATTTTCCATTTGAAAATATTATATTTGTTGCTGTTGGATATTCAATACCATAATTATTAAATATCCAAGTTGGACGAAATAATTCTTTAGTATATCCAACATCATAGTAACTTTGATTACAATAATTAAATTTATCTTCATTAAGATATGGACACCATTTATCAAAAGGATCATATGGAGGACCCTACAATTATTTTTTGATTATTAAAAAACTATAGATCGGAATTTTGTTCCGTACCGTAATACCGTATAATACCGATACCGATAAAATTAAAAATTTTACCGTTTTGTAAAACGGTACGGAATAATCGAAAAATACCGATATCTAAAAAAACCGATTAACTTCAAAATTTTGCCGTACCGTATCCGTGCCGTAATACCGATACGGAATACCGAAAAATACCGAAAAATACGGCCGTAGTACGGTACGGTCCGGTCTCTATATATAACAAACTCGTGCACATAATGGTTGAAACATTTCAGTACATGTTTGCCAATACCATCCTAAAATATTAAATTTATTTTTTAAAATAATAAATACCATCCCCATTATCTCCAAGTGAATAAGGTGGATAAACACAATCATCACCCCATAAACATAAATATTTTGAATTATTATAATTATAATATAAATTAAGTCCATTATAAAGTGCTAATGCTAATTCTTCAGTTGTTTTTGCATTAATAAAAGGCTCACATGCCTTTTTAACTGGCCAACCTGGAGGGGGTTGGAGTCGTTTTGGCGCCGGGCCGTTTTGGCGCGAAAACAAAAAAGTGGCACTTAGGCAAGACCTAACTTTATAGAAAATTTTTCAAATTTCATTAACATCCATGACTACCTCGTCCAGAAATTTCAGAATTTTTCATCAAATATTTCTGAAGTTATAGTCGATAGACCTTGAAAAATTAGGCATTTTTCAGAAAATCAACATTTTTGGCCATAATTTCTAAAATTCTTGCTCAAAAATTTTTAAATTTTTGGAGAACGTAGATAAAGGTTCAAGAGTTATTATCGTTAAATTTTATCATCTTTGATAACCAACTCGCTATCTTATAAGCCCGCGCCAAAACGGCCCCGCGCCAAATTCGCCCAGTCCCACCTGGAAGTGGTGTTAAAAAATTTGTTGGATAAGGATAATCAACTGTTGCTAATGTCTTAAATTTAAATTCAATTTAAATAATAAAATAAGACATACATCCATTATACCAGTAAAATAATTAATTAAATCTTGTCCCTGACTAGAATTAATTATTTGTGATGATAGTGAAAGATGATAATTTTCATTTAAAAATTTTCTTCCATTTGCTTTTTTTTGTAAATAATTAATTAAATTATTAAATTAAAAAACTTGTATTTGATAATTTTTTTATTGCATCAAAACTAGCAAATAATGATTTTAATTTACAACCACTATTTTCAAATGTTCGGATAGTAATATCATAATATGAATGTCCTGTAGTAACATTTTCAAAATAATGAACAGGAGCACTAGAAGCTAATCCTCTTTAAAAAATTATTTAAATATAAGTTATTATTGGGTTGTTAGATAGATAATGAGCCCTTTGCACATTTTTAGGCTTTTTTTATGTCTACATATTCGAATTTCAGTCAAAATGATTTATTTAATCCGCCTTATTTTCCGGATATTGCGCCGTCTGATTACCACTTATTCCGTTCGATAAAGAATCATCTGCGAGATGTGAGGTTCCAAAATGATGCTCAACTCTCAAATTAAGTTGCCAAATTTCTTGATACCTTATCTGCCACTAGATTTTATAAAGGTGAATTAAAAAACCGCCCAGCAAGTAGCAAGATGTGCCATATAATAATGGACATTATATTGTTTCTTGATTTCATTTCATTATTTAGTTGTAGCAAATTGTTTTAATTATGCGCAAAGGGCTCATTATTTATCTAACAACCCATTAAATATTTATTTTTAAAATTAAACAAACCCAACAATAAGATGAGGATACTATAAATTAAATATATTAAATAATTAATTTTGAAAAAAGGTGCTGGTCTAGTTTATGCGTCCAATGAAAAGTTTATGAGTCCAATCAACAAAAAATTGGATTTTTCTTAGCATTGCAAAGTTGGGGTATGGTTCCAAAGCATTTCTTCATATTCGTGACGTACGCCCTCTGGGTCTGGGACCATTCCTTGCCCTATCTCTCGAAATTTCGGTAAGTTATAGCCAATTTTTAAAAATTTCGAAAAAACAATTTAACTTTCAGAAATTTCGAGGGATAAGGCAACGAATGTCCCAGACCCAGTGGGCGTACGTCCCGAACATGAAGAAATGCTTTGGAACCATACCCCAACTTTGTAATACTAAGAAAAATCCAATTATTTTTTGATTGGACGCATAAACTAGACCAGCGCCGAAAAAAATTATAAACTTTAATACGCATCCAAGCAGTTAACATTCCACCATAAGAACCACCAAATGAAACAACAGCTTTTTTTGTAGCATTAATAATTCTTTTTTCTTTTAAATATTTAATTAAAACAGCAAAATCTCCAAGTGCTTGTTCTGAACTTAAATATGCCATTGTTGATATATTTGAATATGTTTCATTTCCAAATGGTAAACTTTCACCATAATAACGATGTTCGGCGAAAACTATTGCAGCACCAAATTCTGGAGCTATATCCCACATAAAACCCTTATATTTTATTTTTTAATTTAAATAATTAAATTAAATTTAAACTGTATGTTGAGCAAATGCTTCAATATCCCCTTCATTTCCAGTATAAAAGAATATTGAACCATTTATTTTATTATAATTGTCAGTATTAATCAAATATCTTTTATTTTAAAAATATTTTTATTATTTAAAAAATAAAACAGTACTCTTGTGTTATCTCCCCCCATTTTATTTTTCTTCCCCTTTCATTTTTCCCAAAAAATACACATAGGTCAAAATGAATCTACGTCGTGAGTTTCCATGTTTTTAAATTAGAGACATTGTGTGCGCACCAGTACTTCTATACGTTCACTGTAGTACCAGAATATTTTGAGGGAATAGAGGGTCCTTTTCATCCAGAGTTACCACAGACAAGCACAATAATGGACATTGGTCCTTGAAACAAGTGCAGGGTACATATCGCCATAATTCTTTAACAGTATCTTAATCGGATTCCTATGTGCTTTTTATGGTGAAGGAAAAGGAAAGGAGAAGGAAAATAAAATGGGGGGGGGGATAAGACAAGAGTACCAATAAAACCTTAATTTAAATGTTTTTGAATTTCCAAACGAAAAATGATCAATTGGCATTTTATCATAATATTCTTCATTCCATTTATACTTTATTTGATTATTATTATTATTATTTTCTTCTATTTTTCCATCATTTAATAAATTATTATCTTTTTTATTAGCTGCGTAACTGACAGGATCTCTTAAATTTTTGCCAAATTGATCAAAACAATTTATTTGAATAATTAAATAAAAATTAATAAAAATATTTAAAATTAATATTAAATTCATTTTATTATTTTTAAATTAATAAAAATTATTTTTTTAAATTAAAATTTTTTATTTATATTTTAATATTGTTAATGAAATTTAAATTAAATTAAATTCTCGAATATTTTATCTATTTATAATTACTTAATTTGCGTATTCATTTTTTTAAATAAAATTTTATTTATTTTAATAAACGTAAAAAACTCTAAATTTGGAAAAAAAATTAATTTAATTAATTTTATTTTAAGGATTTTTTGCAAAATAATTTTTTAGGATTAACGCTTTGCATAAATTCTAAAAAAGGAAATTTAAAAAAAATAAAATTAATATACCTATTTAAATTTAATAAAAAAATTAAATATATTTGAACATCTTTTTTTATTAGATATATTTATTAAATGTGTTTTATATTATATTATAAAACAAATAAAAAAGATAATTTTAGTTCTTTTTTAAATTAAAAAAAACTTTAGAATTTAAATAATTTTAATTTTCTAAAAAAGGAAAAAAAATGCAAAAAAAAAATAAATATTTAATTATTTTTAAATTAAAATTTTAATATATACCGTGAATATCCTAATAAATATAAGCCCTGGGCTTATATTTTGCAATACCCCCCCCCCCCCCCCCATCGTGTGGGCTTCTATTAGGGCATGGGTTTCTATTAGGGATGGGCTTCTATTAGGATATTTACGGTAAATTGAGTTTATTTTTATTAATTTTTATTTTATTATATAATTTTTTAATTATTTTAATTAAATTAAAATATAATAAATAATACATATTGTATTTACTCGATTAATTCCCCCGAGGAATTATTTTTTCAACCCATCCGTGGCAAGGGGAATTAATAGAGGGTGGGGAATTATTCGAGTTTTGAAATTTGAACGTGTATTAGGGTATTTGGGGGTGGGGAATTATTCTTTCAACTCATCCCTGGCATGGGGAATTAATAGGGGGTGGGGAATTAATCGAGTAAATACGGTATATTATTATTTTAGAAATAATATTCATATTCAATTTTTAATTTTTATTTTTTTAAATTATTTTATTTTTCAATTATATTGTCTTGATGATGATGAAACAAATAATTTAAAACCACTACAACCAACATGGAATGAAGGATATTATGAAAATATGCCTATTGATCATTTTAATAAAGATGATTTAAGAACATTTAAATTAATGTTTTTTTATAAAGTTACATAATAGATATCACAAGTTAGAGAAACTTATTTTTTTATTACCTGATATACTAATATCTGAGTATATAAGAATACCTGAGTTCTAATCCCTTATCTATATCGCTGTATAGCAGAATTCTATGTATCCAACCTCGATTTCTGTATCCAACCTCAATCATGCTGATTCAATCGTACAGATATCAACCGTAATATTTGTCTAATCTCTGTTACCCTTTCTAACACCTTAACCCATCAAAATCATCTTATATCCACCTTAATTCTTTGATATTGCCTAAAATCATTTTGGGTTGAGTCTTAATCTCCCATAATCCCCACAAATCCAGATATCTCTTAGTCGCTTCAAATTACACTGTATTTCTCAAAGTTCTCCGTTATATTTCACTGACCTATAGTCCGCTGACACATTGTCCGGATGCCCTTAAAACTCATTAAAAATTCAGATTTTGTTGATTCATCCTACATGTTCAAATGATCATTCACTTACATATTCTAACTTTTCCTATAAAATTCTGCATAATCCCTCGTCTCATACTCTCCATTCTCTATCCGATCTTTTGAAAAATATTGGAATTTGTTATATATTTTTTAAAAAAATTATTCGAAAAATACATACATGATCAGAAGATATATAGAGTCATTCAAGATAACTACAAGGATATGGGTATGAGATACAAATAATTTTTTCAGTTGCATGGGGACATAGAAGGTGGAAACTATTTATTTTAATTAAAATTTAAAAAATATTTAGAGGAACAGCCTTTTTCCACCAGCTCCTTATCAGACTTCCGTCCAGTCGTTGACTTTTATCTGTCATAAAATACACAGATTTGAAAACGGGCCCGGAAGATGATAAGCGCTGGAAGTTTAGCTTTTTAGGGGATAAAGAGAAATTTTTAAAAAAAAATTTTTTTCAAAAATTAATTTGCGCAGAAAAAAAATATATTATTTTAAAAAAAACTTTATTTATAATATGCCTTCCATTCCTTTTTCAAATATCCTTCAAGAATAATTTGGCTGTTGTAAAATTGAATGAGGGAAAAGTTAAGTGATTTTGACTTTTGCCGGCTGACAAGAAAAAAAAAGAAAAGGCAAAGGAAGCAACGGCAGGATGTCGGCAATTTGTTAATGTGCCAGGAGGTTAAAGGCGCGGAAAACGCGCAAATCCAATTTAAAAAAAAGGAGAATAAAAAGAAAAGCAAAAAAAGATGCTCAAGATTTTGCCTTTTGGGTTGAGGCTAATGAGTGAGAAGTACTAGAATTTGAGCTAAGGGAGTAAATTAAAAATAATCGAAAAATAACTTAAATACTAACAAAACCAGAATTTTATGTTTCGCTTAATTAATAGAAACAAATACATTTTTATAAAATCAGAATTAATTGTATTTTTATGAAAAAATTAAATCAGAATTACTTGTGAAAATACATTTTTAACACTGTGTTTAATAAAATCAGAATTTATTGTATTTTTCGAACAGAAGAAAAATCAGAATTTTTTAATCAGAATTTTCAGAATTTTTAAAAATCAGAATTTTTTAATAAAAATGCATTTTTAATCTTCGTAAAATAAAATCAGAATTTATTGTATTTTACGAACAAAAATCAGAATTTAGTGTATTTTTAAAGAAAACACATTTTTAAAAATCAGAATTTCCTCCTTACTATAAAAGTATGTAGGTACATTATTAAATTCTGTAATATAAAATCAGAATTTATTTGTATTTTTACAAACAAAAGAAAACCAGAATTTTATTTTTAATTAAAACACATTTTTAATTTATTTATAATAAAATCAGAATTTTCCTTAAATTCTATAAAAGATTTTCAAAGGGTAATAAAGAGTAATGTTGTCGTGACAAGCTTGAACAACATGGGCCGTGGGAAATATAAAATACTTAAAAAAAAGAAGTGTCAAGAAATTTCCCATTTTTGGCATATGAAGAGCATAAAAATTATTTATAAAAAAATGTGGGCAGTCATGAATAAATTATTATTTTTTTTTGCTAAAAAAGAATTTAACTTGGAAAAAAAAATATTTTTTTATCCTTAATTTCAGAAATTTGAGACGAAAAAAATTGGAGAGATGCAGAAAATTGAGCTGCTTTGGTTAACAGAGATGCTGACTTGTTTTTGTATCTTTATAGTGTCTGAGAAATTTTAATTTGTCTATAGGGGACAAAAAGTGACCTCTTTTAGCCTAGCAATAACTGCCAGGAGGTCGCAGGATCGAAGCCTGTCCGGGATTAAACTTTTACCTCGCTCTTACTCAATCGAACCTTGCCAGCATTGCTCTCGGGCAGAAAAATAAAGCATGCGAGTCGGACTATATTTGTAGGAAAAAAATTAAGAATGTCAAAAAGGATATCTAAACATTTAAGTAATGTATATCTCCAACTCGTAGTTGGAGATATATATCTCCAACTCGGGCATTTTTGGAGCATTCTACCAGACCTGGTCATGGATACGGATATGGATACAAATAATATAAATATGCCTGCGGATATCCGTCTGTATCCGCCGTAAATATCCGGATATGGATACCAAAATCAGTATCCGTCACCCTGCATTCTACTCCTTTTATACTTCAAATTCCCTAAAGTTATCAAATGATTGGGATTAAAAAATAAAATTGTCGGATCCGGATATCCGGATCCGAAAAAGGCCGGATATCCGGAAATTTTCGGTTCGGATATCGGATCCGGATCCGGATATCCGAAAATTTCGGTTCGGATCCTAGAATTTGGAAAAAAGGATGAAATCTTGCCCATTGGTCTTCCAAAATTCCCAAAATTTTCGCCTGCGGCGCTAATAATGGGAGAAAGCAGGCTTTTTGGCCTTCCAAAATTCCCAAAATTTTCGCTTGCGGCGCTGAAAATTGAAGAAATCTAGCTTAAGGACTTCCAAAATTAACAAAATTTTTGCCTGCGGCGCTGAAAAAGTGAATTTTTTGGCCTACGGCCTTTTAAAATTCTCAAAAGTTTCGCCTGCGGCGCAGGAAATGGAAGAAATCTAGCTTAAGACCTCCAAAATTCACAAAATTTTCGCCTGCGGCGCTAAAAGAGAAAGAGTTGTAAACAATTGTAAAAACTCACATGCCCCTCTGAAGCTAACCCCCTGGATACGCTCTTGAAGGATTTTGGGATTAGAGGGGATATAGGGGATTAATCAATAAATCCCTCAATATCTCTCGTAATTCCCAACCCGTAGCCTTTAATCCACCAATTTTAAATGTAAGATAATACCCTATGTCTCTATTAATTCCCCAAATAACTCATTACTCACATCGATAACTCTGTTACTCCTAAATTCCCTCAATACCTCTGTTATTTCCCCAAATCCATTTATAATTTCCAACTATCCGACAACCTTATTAAAAAATACAAATACGTAATAAAGTTGTCAAATATATTTCAATCAAATCAGACGAATAAGAATGCCTGATTAAAGGGGAAATATCGAAATGCTGCCTAATTCCTGAGAAAAATAATTAGCTAAACTCAACCTTGACATGTTCTCAACTATTTTTCACCCTTTTTTCAAACTTTTCCAATCATTTCTCTGTTTTCCCTTGTTTTTTAGGAAAACATTCTCAAAAACAAGTTTTAATGTCAGTCTGTTTTTATTGACGTTAGTTCACATAACATTTTTAAAATATGACATTTTGGCCTTTCTTTGCTATTTTGTTGCCTTATTTATTGCTACTTGTTATCATCGATTCATCAGAGCGTCTGTCAAACGAGAAAAGAATTAGTACAAGTAAAGGGGAAAAACACGAGAAAAATGGGTGGAAATAAAAACAAACAAAATAGTAAACCCGCACTTTTTTATTATTGTTTTATTATTAAAAACGGTTTATTCTTTGTGTGTAAATACTAATGGTTTTTATTGTATTGGTTAAATACATATAATGGTTACACACACACATTTTTGCATTTTTTGTGTTCTTATTTTATTTTTTAATTTTGAAAATATTATATATTTTACTCCTTAAAATACACCTGTCCTCAAGATTGTGTTGGCCGCTGGGTGAGGGAGTGATATTCTATGCGATACTCCCTATATACACCTCAAAAGTAGGGTTGGACAAAGGGGGGTTGGACCCTAGTCTGACAAAAAAATTTTGGGTTTCGATTATTTGGGTAAAAACAACGGTATATAGGCATTTTACTTACACCTTAAAATACACATGTCCTTAAGATTGAGTTGGCCGCTAGATGGTGAGGGAATGTCTAAGCGATACCCTCTATTTTAGATAGACATCAAAAGTAGGGTTGAACAAAATCGGTTATTAGCCCCCGTTTTCGGGTTCGATTAATTGGCTTCGATTAATACAACGATTTTCGGTTCTAGTCAGCAGAGTTGCGTCGTAATCGAAAATTTTTTTTCGGAATCGTAATTCGTAACTCAAAAAACGCCGTAATTCATAATTACGACGCAACCCTGCTAGTCAGGGGTAAGCGCAGGAGGCAATCGTATAAAACGCAACGCAAGGCCAAAATTTAACGCAATGCTCTCACTTCTAGTTCGGTCACCTATTGTTTCACATAAGATACAATTTTTCAATCACAATGGTGAATCTTATAGTGAAGCTGACAGCCCGAAAACCACTTCTTACTTCAAGAAGGATTATACATATGTTGTCAAACAAATTGTTTTGAGCCAAAGTTTCAACTTTGGCTCATAGATTTAAATTGCTTCTTCCACCCCCTCAGAAAAGTTGGGATTAACGGGAGGATAAATAAGTGGGAGGTTTATTTTTATTTTTTTAATCCACTCTTGCCCAACCACTAAAAAATAACAAACAAACACCTTTTCACTTTATTTTTTCTCCCTTTTTTTCAATCCCCTCTTTCGTTAGTTACCCCGACCCATGCACTCTTAAATATAAGGTTGTTTTTGTCTGGCCCCTATATTGAGACACCAAAGTCCTCTCTGTGAAGGGAAGCCCTCACTTTCCTTCCCCTTTTCTTTCACCACAAGACTGACTGGTTGTTGTTTACGCCAATTCTCTTTTCTATTTTTTGAGCGCATCCGTCTGACCGAACTGATGCTTTCACAATTTTTTGTGTTGTTTTTCTTACCCCCCTTCCTCTCTCTTTTTTGCTTGTTTAAGCATTTGGTTGTTATTTGCTTGTCTCTTTCTTTCACTTTCATTGCCCCATTATAGTATTATTTCTTTTTTGCTTTTTCAAAATATCCACGGGATTTTGTTATTTTTAAAAATAAAAATTTCGAAAAACAATTTTTTTAAATATACATTTCATCATATCGATTATTGAGAAAGTTGGGCATTTTGAAAAGTTGAGATTTTGAAAGTTGACACTTTGACATTTTCCTTTAAAGATTCCGCGTTTTCAGAGCGTTTTAAATTTTTCACAAAGCGATTTCCTCTTAAGCCTCCTAAAAACTTTCGAGCCTTTCAACCCTTCTCTTAAGATGGCGAGAATGACTCAAAAACAAACAACGACAGACGAAGAAGCAAAACAAATACAAAATTTGCACATTGAAGCAAAAACTGAAGGGAAAAGGAGTGCTCCTAGTGGACGATTGAATGGTAGTTAAAGGAATATTTTTTGAACAAATTCCCCCTTTTTTAAGCTGAAAAAGTCGGAATTGCTTTGGAAAGTATTTTAAAAATTAAAGATAATAAATTGCCTTCCTCGACAACCGAAGATGATATCGAGAACGATTCATTTTCTTCTTCGTCGTCGTCATCTCCTTCGTCACTTTCCTCCCATTCGAGCACTTTAAAAGGTAATTTTTTATAGTCAAAATTTTGTTTTGTTCAACGAATTGAGTTGTGACGAGCAATGAGAGGGGAAAGGATTACTTGGAATGTTGGAGATAGGAATTTGTGGGGGAACGGTGGGATAGAAATACAACACGTTCATGGACTGGGATGAAACATGCATCTCCTATAACGATGTTCCCTATTCCAGTTTCTTTCCAGAAAACGGGGATAGTGTTTTAAAGTAAGAGGGCGACCTTTCGGGGCAAGGACCGATTTCACGGGGAACGGGGAATTGGTGTCTGGTGAGTAAGACGGAGATCCCCGCAAGCTTCTCCCCTTTCTACGGGGGCTGGGGTAAAATCTTCTTTTTAAGACAAAACAAACACTTTACTCATTTGACAAACATCTAAAACAGCAAAATAAAATCACGTTCACTTTCCCCGTTTGACAAACATCTACCTACCTAGTTTTTCTGTTTTTCCCTTCCAAATTTCTATAAAAATTGTTTTTCACAAAAAATTTTTTTTCTATATTTTCGTCACACCTCCATTTCATCGAACAACCAACCCTTCTTTTACATAGGTTTTCTTGTGTACTAGTAATAAACACAAACATCTCTACTAGTTTTCTTCTTCTCCCAGACAAAAAATAATAAATAAATTTAAAAAAGGTGGAAGTAGCAGTGATGACAACAATAAAAGAAAAACAAAAACAACAACAGATGGGGGGTTAGTAGAAGGAGGAAGCAGTCATCACCTCCCCCATCACAATTATAGTGAACATCACACTGACCGTTTAAACACAAATTTGGTTGTTGTAGGTCAGCAGGGCCCGGCACTGCCGCCTTCAATGAAAAAAGTCTTTTTGGAAGAAAATGGTCTTTTTTTGTTGTTGAGAAAAAAAAATATTTTTTTGAAAATATTTAAAAAAATTTCGAAAAAAAAAATTTTTCCCAAAATTTTTGAAATTTTTTTGAAATTCCCAAGAATTTTATTTTTTAAAAAAATTTTGAAAATTTCAAAAATTTACATATTTTTTAGAAATGAATAAAATAACAACAAATTCAATGTCCGATCAAACACGTACAATAACCAGTCGAACACCCAAAGATTTTTTCTTTATTAATGTTTTGGGTGAAGGAAGTTTTTCTACGGTAAAAAATTTTTTTAATTATTTTTAAAGGGTGTTTTTGGAAAGAACTTAAAATAATCTCACCTTTCCATTTCTTTCCTTCTTTTTTTGTTTTCTGACAAATCATCAAAAAATATTAATTTTTGGCGGTATACATATAAAATTTGTTCGAAGCCTTTTGGACTTTAGGGGGAAACAATAGGGTGTTCCCCATTCCCCTCCCCCCTCGTGACGGAATTCCCCGTCATCCCCCCGTAGCTTCCATAAATATAAAAGTCGTACAACTCGTAGAATAACTACCCAAAATTACTCTCTTTTGATTAATTTAATCGTTAGAGGCAAAATAGGGGAAATTTTTTGATAATTTTTAAAAAATCCGATTAAAAATCATCCTTTTTTGTTTTAAAAATCCCAAAAAATTTTACTACTTTTTAAAGGTTTATTATTCAAAAGAAGTAGATACGGGGGATGAATATGCAATAAAAGTTTTGCTCAAAAGTGAAATTCGTCGTGAGGGACGTGCTCGTTATGTGCTTAGAGAAAAGGATATAATGGCTTTGTTGACTTATTTTTATGGTCCTTTTTTTAATTTTTTAAAAATTTCTTAGGTAGAATTGAATTACGTACCCTCACTTTTTTTCTTTTGTAAAAAATTACCAGACTTTCCTTGCTCAACTTTACTCTGTCTCCTATGGATACACAGCAAAATAAAATGACTCCGACTAGGGCTGTCGGATAGTTGGAAATCCTCGGATATCTGATATCTGAGCCGAAAATTTCTGATATCAGGCCTTTTCGGATCCGTATCCGGCAACCCTAATTCGGACTACCGTATATGCTCGAATAATTATCCAGGGTAATTATTCAAGAGGATGGGCTAAATTTTGGGGTATATCTCAATAATTCGAGGAGGAAATTCATTTATTTTTTGATATTGATTCTTATAATGTTTCAATAATTAAAATTGGCAATGATTTTTTCAATATTTTTAATCTTAGAGAATGAAAAGGAGGGGTAATTATTGAAGAGAGCAATTATTTGAGAGAGGGTAATTATTCGAGCACTTACTGTATGTTTAATATTTTAAGGAAGGAGAGGAGGAACGGGGGGGGGGGGAGGATGCGAAATTCAATTTTATTTATTTTTAAAATAAAAATTAACTTTTAAATGTTAAAAACAGAAAAAAAAAAGTTTGATTTTTTCAAAGGTGGACATCCCTTCATTATTCGTCTTTATTGTACATTCCAAGACAATGACCGCCTTTGTTAGTCTTCTAAAAATTTTCTTAATAAAAATTTTTTTTAAAGATTTTGCTCTAGCCTATGCAAAACACGGAGAATTATTAGATTGGTTAAGACGTTTAGGCTCTTTTGACGAAGAGGCAACTCTATTTTACGCTTCAGAAATTCTCTGTGCTCTAGAATTTTTGCATAAATGCAAAATTATTCACAGAGATTTAAAACCCGAAAATATTTTGGTTGGGAAAGATTGGCATATTATGCTGTCTGATTTTGGAACTTCCAAAATAATTAATAATTCTGAACAGACAAATAAAGGTATTTAAATTTAATTTGTGAAAATGATGTTCCTTTAAATGAAAGTAATGGGTTGTCAGATAAATAATGAGCCCTTTTCACATTTTTAGTCTTTGTTTATGTATAGGTATTCGAATTTTAGTAAAAATTATTTTGCATTTACTTGAGTCGATAGTTCACGATTTTTTCTACTATTCTAAACCATTTAAAAAATTAATTTTGATTTTTGCAGTTTTTTAAAAATTTTTTAAAATTATGTCCTCAAAATCTGAAATTCGGGCTGTTGTTTTGTATTGCTTCAAACGCGGTCTAGGTACAACTCAAGCCAAAAAAGAAAATGCCGCCTTGAAGGGCACAAGTTGCGCATCTTTTGCCAAAAACCCCAAATTTGGCCCAAATTTGGGATTGTACACTGGGAATTAACTCCTAAGGGCAAATGATTGACGGGCGAACTCTACAGAACAATATTGGACAAAGTTCTTCTTGCCTTTGATGTTTTCACTGTTTGTGCGGTTTGTTATGGTCAAGTTGTCTTTCAACAGGAAAATGCACCCACGCATCGCGCGAAGGTAAATCGATCCCGCATAACGGAGACACTCGTATGGCAATTTTTATTTCATCCGCCTTATTCACCGGATATTGCGCCGTCTAACTATCACTTATTCCGTTTGATAAAAAATCATTTACGAGATGTGAGGTTCCAAAATGATGCTCAACCCTCAAATTGGGTTGCCGGATTTCTTGATACCAAATCTGCCACTAGATTTTATCAAAGGGGAATTAAAAAACCTTCTAGCATGTGGCAAAATGTGATAGATAATATGGACATTAGATTGTTTCTTAATTTCATTTCATTATTTAGTTATAGTAAATTGTTTTAATTATGCGCAAAGGGCTCATTATTTATCTGACAACCCATTATTTATGAAGCTTCCAAAAGTATTCCTCGCTTTTCCTTGAACAATTTAAAATTTTAGTTATTCCATTTTTTACTCTTATCAATAGTTTAGTCTTGTGTTTTTGTTGTTAAATTGACTAAATCTTTTGATGAAGTAAAGGGGAATTTAGAGAGGAATTTTGGAAAAAAGGAAAGATAAAGCTAACTTTTACCTCGGGCAGAAATTCCTAAATTTGCTGAGAAAATTGAACTCAGTAAAATACATAGTGTACTTTTTGTCAGGTATGTGACCGAAATTGAAAAAAATGTAATTTTCAAAATCCGTAAGATATAGGTGATCCTAATTATTTCAACTTTTCTCTTATAGGTCTCTCTTACCCCACCCTTTGCCCTTTAAAATATTTTCGAATACTTACATTTATTTTTCAATTAAAATTCTAGAACAATTACCCCAACAAATTTTGGATGATGTAACAACAACCTTACCCCCACCACCAACTTCCTCCCCCAACAAAAACAGTGGGGGTGTTAGAAGTTCTTTTGTCGGTACAGCACATTATATAAGTCCGGAAGTTCTAAAATCTGAAGATGTTGGGTCTGAATGTGATTATTGGGCATTGGGGGCTATTATCTTTCAAATGATCTCTGGACAACCGTAAATATTTTTTGGGATTTTTGAAAGAAGTCAGACACCTCTATATAAGATACACCCAATACTAGATACTAGGGTTGTTCCCCGTCCCCGAAAGTCGGTGAATTTGAGACATTTTTGGAATCCTCATCCCCTGTGGCGCTGCCTCCCCAAAAAGCTTTCCCCGTGCCCCCACCCTCTTGTTGGGGAACAACCCTACTAGATACATATTTAAAAAATTTTTTAACACTAGGGGAGCCACTGGGTGACATGGCCGTATCCAGTCCGGCCTTTTTCGGATCCAGATCAGGGCTGGGCGCAATTGCGGATTGCGTAAATTGCGGGGTTTTTTGCAGTTGCGGATTGCGGGTGCGGATTTTTAAAAAAATTGCGAGTTGCGGATTGCGAGTTGCGGAATCTTTTCGATTGCGCCCAGCCCTGATCCAGATCCGGCAACCTTATTGTGTAAGGCTACCCTAGAAGAAATTTCAAAAAAATCCTCTATTTAATATACCCCTCATTATAGGAGACAATTTCCTAGCCCAAGGTAGTATCTTGTAACAAAGTCTGACTGAATTAACCAAATTCTGAAATTAATTAAAAATTTTTATTAAATTTTTAAAGGCCTTTTCGAGCAGTAAATGAGTACAAAATTTTGAAGAAAATTCTTGGATTAGATTTTCACTTCCCAGACGGGTTCCCTTCTATTGCCAAACAATTAGTTAGTGGATTACTTGTTTATAAACCAAGTGAACGTCTTGGAAGTGCTGCCAATGGGGGAATAGAGGCGCTAAAAAGACACGAGTTTTTTAAGGTAAATAAAAAAAAATTCGAAAAATTTTTTGTAAAATTTTCAAAAAATTGGCCTAAAATTTTTTTTTGGAAATTTAAAGAAATTTTCAAAAAAATTTTTTATTTTTCTCAAAACAGAATGTCAATTGGGAAAATATTTTTACAAGAAAACCACCAGAATTAAAACCTTATTTGCCTGCTAGTTGTGGAGAACCAGCATTTTATAGTGATTATAATCCTTTATCTGGAAATATTGAGCCTGGATTGAATGAAGCAGCGCTTTATAGATTAATGGGGTTGGGGCCTTCTGTTGGCGGTGGTGGGGGATGTACTTCACTTAAAGGATTTATGGATTTTGATTGTATTGAAGGTGTTTTAAATTTTACTTTTTTAAATGGGAAAACCTCCTCTTTTCCCCTTCCTCGTTTACCCCCACTAGGAGGGAGGGGGGGGGGGTACTCGAAACACGAACCCCGTCCGAAGAGAACTTCGAAACCCAGACTAACTGTATTATATTCATGTTCATGCTGTGGAAAAATTGTGGATGGGAGATGGAATTGAACCATCATGGAATGAGCCCAGACCGAAGCACAACCGACTGTGCCACCATCCAACCCTATGCTGGGTAGGGTCCTCCTCCTCCTCCCCTCAGTTTTTGATACCCATCTTTACCTCCCCGTCCCTGTTGATAACAATTCCTCACTGAATCAAGAATGAGAAAATAGCAGTGTCTCGCGTTTCAAATAACACCCAAAAGTCAGCCTTTCAACTGAGCAGCTTGACATAAATAATTTTTATAATAGCCAAAAGCGGCACATTGAAGGGCTGATTTTATGGTGGAGAGAATGGAACATTTTTGAAGAATTTTTAAATAAAAAATTATGTTGAAAAAAATTTAAAAAAATATTTTTTGAGTTTTGGGGGTATTAAAAAAATAAACTTAAAAAATTCTGTTGGATTTTTATTTTTTTCACAAAATATAATATTTTGCAAACTTTCCATTAATTTTATATCTAAAAATATTTTTGTTTATTTTCAAAAAAATTTTTTTCTTAATTTTTCGCATTTTGTAACAAGTCTCTATAAATTTATATTTTTTAAAAATCTCTCTCAATTCTCTTCCTGTATTTGTTTATTTTCCCTGATTTTTTGAGGTTCAACTAGCTGAAGGGTGAGTAGCTGAATGGACGTGTAGCTTTTGGGTTTGGTTACGCTGGGGGGAGCGTTTGGTTACATTTCTGGACCGGTGAGAATCGTTTGGGGGCGCGTCCAGGGACGCGCGTGGAAAGCCTGCGGCTTTAAAAGGACGCTAGATTTGTTTCTTGCTTGGCGATTTACGTTAAATATATTTAAATTCTTTGCTTTGCATTTTGGGGGCCTTCGGCCCGCAAACCCACCGGTTATACGGATACTTTGCATTGAGGTAGCTTTGATGGGTTGTCTCGGGGCGTTTTGGGGCCTTCGGCCCCCCAAACTCACCGGTTAGACGGATAATTTGGCTTTTGGTAGCTTTGGTGGGTTGTGGCACCGGTTAGACGGATACTTTGCGTTGAGATAGCTTTGATGGGTTGACTCGGGGCGTTTGGGGGGCCTTCGGCCCCCAAAACCCACCGGTTAGTAGCTTTGGTGGGTTGACTCGGGGCGTTTGGGGGGCCTTCGGCCCCCCAAACGCAGCGTTTAGGAGGATACTTTGCCTTTTGATAGCTGTGGTGCGTTTACTCGGGGCGTTTTGGGGGCCTTCGGCCCCCCAAACCCAACGTTTAGGAGGATACTTTGCCTTTTGGTAGCTTTGGTGGGTTGACTCGGGGCGTTTGGGGGGCCTCCGGCCCCCCAAACCCACCGTTTAGACGGATACTTTGCCTTTAAGTAGCTTTGGTGGGTTGACTCGGGGCGTTTGGGGGGCCTCCGGCCCCCCAAACCCACCGTTTAGACGGATGCTTTGCCTTTAAGTAGCTTTGGTGGGTTGACTCGGGGCGTTAGGGGGGCCTTCGGCCCCCCAAACGCGGCGTTTAGACGGATACTTTGCCTTTAGGTAGCTTTGGTGGGTTGACTCGTGGCGTTTGGGGGGCCTTCGGCCCCCCAAACGCGGCGTTTAGATCCCCCCTCGGCCTTCGGCCTCGGTTTTGGGGCCTTCGGCCCCCAAAACCCCCACAACTTAAAACTCTGACCGCCATAATTTGTTCAGACTCAAGTGACCCTCCAAACAGAGTATATATTTTTCGATGGATTTGAGGTTGCTCTACAATATAACGTAAGTCTTTTTAATTAATTACCACTCCTTTGGTACCCCCACTGGGTATGCTACCGCCCACCCCCAAATTTCGACCTTTTGTAACTTTTGCCAAATGGTCAGAAAATTTCGGAAAAAATATTTTTAGACTTGGGGCATTAAGGGCTTTCGAATGATATATCATTTGCCCCATTTATACCAATTTTTAAAAAAATATTTTTTTGGCCGAAAATTTTGGCCGAAAAAATCGACCAAATTTTCAAAAAATCATAACTTTCTTAAAGTTAACCTTTTTTAATAGTTTTAAAATCCTATAATATGCAGAAAATTCTGCTCTATCCAGGAAAAATACTTTCGGGTCGAACCGCCGGCAAAAAACCCGAATTTTTTTCGAAAAACCGAAAAATTTTCGGGTTTTCGAAATTCGACCCCTACACCCCCAATTTCGAATTTTTTCGAAATTTTCTTCAGTCAAAAAATACCTAATTTTTAAGACTATTTTTAGAAAGAAACCCCAACCCAATCCGATAATCCCACAAAAAGTTAAGGTCCCCCAAAAAATCCCGAATTTTTCCCAAAAGGGGTACCCCTTTGGTTCTGAGGGAGGGGACAAAATTTTCGAATTTTGACACAAAATTCGACTTATATGGTACTCTGACATGCGCTGAGTACGAATCCGGCGTCAGAAAAATTTTAAAAAATTTCTCCGGGACGATAGAGTCTCATAAAGTTTCACGACATTTTGCCACAACGCCTATAACTTTTTGAGACTCAAGTGGACCCCCAACATATTATACCTTTTTCTGACCGCCAGGGGACGCTCTTTCGATCTGGCTATTGAAATCGAGTTTCAATTCACTTTACAAAAAGTCGACTTTTCGACTCTGACACTTTGGACCAAATGACCCCCAAAAGTTCACCCGAGACTCTAGTGTCCGCTTATTTATAACTTCCCAACATCCAACCCTCCAACATCGCTCCCAGGCCCCAAGACCCCCCACTTCTCAAAAACGCGTTATAACGCGTTGAATTTTTGAATCGGCCATTTCGGCGCCGCACTCAAGTGCGGCGCCGAAATGGCCAATCCCAAAAAATTCCCCATAGCCACTTACCTAATATCCCCCAGGTCCCATCCAAATCCGCCCAGCCGTTCACGAAATATAGAAAATCGAAAAACCAATTAATTGGTTTTCGGACCAAATAAAAACCAATGAACAGGCACTTCGGTATTTAGACTTCACCGAATTTCGAATTTTTTTTTTTAAATCATATCTACTAATCGTGGCGCGCGTGCCTCCCAGCAGACTTTTTCTGCTCCGACTTACGGTTCACGAGATAAAAATTTTAGTGGGGTCGTTTCGGCGCAAAGGAAAAGTTGTGGCGCCACAGCTATAATTTTCCTGAATGCGCCGTAAAAAGTTGCCCCCAGAATGTCAGGCTTCGGGGAAGCGGCCGGCCTTCGGCCGGCCGATATTAGTTTTTAAATTTAATTGGGCTCTGGATTTTATATTATATAACACATTAATAGGGAGGGGATGTTTGGGGAGAGGATGTTTTTTTTGTAATTTATTGGCCTATTTTTTAATAGAAAAATGAGAGGGAAAGTGTGTATTGCTTTAAGTTTTGTTTATACTCCCCCCCCCCCCCCCCCCCCCCCCACCAATTTATTTATATTTAAAAAGATTTTTGGGAGGAGAATTATGAGAGAGAGGATTCATTCTCTTAATTCATTCATTTAATCCAAAAAATCCAAAAAATTTTTTCCAAAAAATTTCTTCAAAAAAATTTAAAAATTCTTAGAAATTGTCTGTCCCAATCTCTACCATAAAATCAGTCCTTCTTTGTGCTGCTTGGCTTTTTTAAAAATTTTATGTCCAAGCTGCCCAATTGAATGACTGATTTTGAGGTGTTTTTGAAACGCGAGACAATGCTATTTTAATTTATTAAAATTTGATTTTTTCTGGATTCAGAGTTAGAAGAGAGAGAAGGTTTTCTTTAAATTACAGCCAAACCTCTTTATAAGATTTAGTATTGTAGGGTTGAAAATTAATTTTTATAAGGTACCTAAACATTCTAACAAAGCCTTGTACTTCTATTTTTCGGAAAAATTTTCTTGTTTATCTATTTTTTTCAGAATTTTTTTTTCAGAAAAAAATGTCTTTCAGAATCAGAAACAACGGTATCAGGGTTTTAAAAAACCGTTATAATACCGCTCGATATCGGTCGGGATCAGGGGGTGATACGCTCACCCCTGGTCGGGATCCGGATACAGCCAACTCCAATTTTTCAATGGGGCTTCTAGTAGGATTGGGCTTCTGTTTTTGAAAGATTAGACAAAAAAATTAACTAAAGTAAAACGTATACGGTATCTTTTATAAGGAGACAGCTCCCCCTATTCATTGCTCAAAAATTATTTCATAAATCGAAATTCCCTAGTATCTCATAATGAAGTTTTACTGTTAATTTTCTAATTCTGAGGGTATCTTATAGACAAGTCCAACAGTTTTTAGGAAAATAAATTTTTTTCACAGATTTTTTACCCTCAACATGCTCAATCCCTCCAAGCGCCTCCGCCTCTTCTTCCTGTTCTTCTTTTAGCTCAACCCCAACAACTTCCTCTTTCCAAACTTCAACAGATTTAAACGACACAACAAATTTATTATTATTTTCGAATTTAACAGAAGAAGAAAGGGAAAGGAGGAGAAAATGTCAACTTGAACGTCAAAAACAAGAACATAAATATCACCAATTTGTCCAAAATAATTTAATATTAAAATGTGGATTAATTGATAAAAAGAAGGGACTTTTTGCTAGAAGAAGAATGTTTCTTCTTACAGAGGGCCCCCATTTATTTTATGTTGATCCAGTTTCAATGCATTTAAAGGGGGAAGTCCCTTTTTCGGCTCAAATGAGGACTGAAGCGAAGAATTTTAGAACTTTTTTTGTTCATACGGTCAGAAAGATTTTTTATAGAATACAGATAGACCTGGTTATAAGATGTATTGTGACTGAAAATAGTATCTTAGAGGTGTATCTTAAATAGAGAGGGTATTGTTTGGGTAGTAAGATTGTCGGATCCGGTTCCGACAAAAGACTGGGTATCCGAAAATTTTCGGTTCGGATCCCAAATCAGGATATCCGAAACAGGATTCCCAACTATCCGACAACCTTATAGGGTAGCTCTCCCACACAGTGACCAACAAAAATATACAGAACCTATATCAAATAGAGGTGTATTTTTGATTAGTCACTGTGTGGGAAAGCTACCCAATAAGGTTGTGGGATACTTGGAATCTTCGGATATCTGGATCCGGGGTCCGAACCGAAAATTTCCGTATCCAGTATTGGGGCTTATCTTATACAAGGGTCTATCTGTATCAATTTATTGATTTTAATTCTTTAATATCTTCAATAATAAAAATATTTTTTAGCCAAAAAGGACATATTATCTATTCGATCCAGAACGGCATGCAAAGGATTGGTGTGATGCTATTGACTGGGCTCGTGAACAACACTTCTCTTCTTTAAACAAATCAAAAGACAAAGTTTCAACAAAAACAATTGGACAAACTTGTGACAATCAAGGGGGAGGAAATATTCAAAATATCAGCAGCGTTACTAAACTTTTTTCTGGAAGAACCAAAAGCCCTTCTTCGGGTGTTGAATAAAGGAGAAGGAGAAATGTTTAAAAGAAATTTGACAAAAAATTATTAAAAATTATTAATTACTCTTTAGGGTAGTTAAAGGCCAAGTAATTTTTGAAGGATGGAAGTAAAGTATTTGAATAATCCATTTTATTGTATATATAAATGTAAATAGACAAATAAATATTTTGAATATTTTTTCTGACCTCTTTCGACTGGCTCGTAATTAGAGACCGGACCGAGACGAGATCTCGATTCTCTTACAGCACTCCCAGTCCGGTCCCTACTCGTAATGGTCAATTTTCCATAGTATCTGATATGTATCTGTTCATTGTGGCCGTAAGGAAAAAATGGTGCAAAAAGTATCTACTTTTTTTCATTTTAGTTCCGATTTCTATCACAAATTTTGCTCTAAGGCATAAAGTTTCAAGTTCTGCATTTTAGAACCAGTGGTCTGATAACTCGGTGAGTTCAAAAATTGGGAAAAAATTGAAAAGATTGGAAGATGTTATCACTCCGTTTTTCCTTTTAATGTAGGCACTCACAAAGGAGACCAAATTTCACCCGAAGTCCCACGGACACCCAAAACACTCTCCTTTGTAGAGTCAGTAATAGGGTTGGCATATCCTGGGAGATTCTCAGATATCCAAATCCAGAACCGAGATTCGAACGGAAATTTAAGTATTAGGCTCCAAAAAGAAAAAGGTAATGAAGACTGTCTGTTACAAAGAGTGCTTTCGGGACAATTTTCAAGGAGTCAATGCCACTGTAGTTTATAAGAAGCCGGATTCGGAATAGCCAGATTCTCTACTATCGGCCGAGATATAGGGTTCGAAATGGTCGAATCCATACATGGGGGGGGGGATTTTTTCCAGTTTTTTCCAATTCCGGTCTTTTAGTTTTGGAGGCAATTGAGCCATGAACATAGCTTTATAATAAATAAGACGAGCCATAGTATATGAGTCATAAGAGGCAATCGAGCCATTATAGGACATCTCAAGGCATGCGACTGCCTTTTTTAATTTACTATAAAAATATGTATATTATTGAATATCATAAGGTAAAGTATCTACTTAAATAAGCACTTTGAAGCTCTACCTTAAGACATGCCTCCCATGAGCGTTAATGCGTCCCAAAAGAGATATATGTCTAATCATAATACAGTGCCGCATAAAAGTATAAACGCACTAGAAAATATCCTGTAGCTCGGGATTAAGGTGTCCATGTTTTATAAAACTTTTTATGCCGTAAATGCTCAATTAATTTCCCTCTCTCTTATAATTACTCCTATTTTCCTACACTAATTATAAAAATATTTATTAAAATTTAAAAGGATTTGAATAGGATATCGAGGGATTTGTGTGGATTAAGGTTGATATCGAGGGATTAAGGATATGGGTAAAGTTGATAAGAGATTAGGAAGTTTTGGGTGAAATATTTAGACATTTTTCTAATATAAGCCTTAATTCTTCTGTATTTTCTCAACTCATCTGATTCTCAATCTGGAACATCTCCGAATCAGTTGATATTCCAGATTTCCCTCCAATTTCTCCAGATCCGTCTTAATCTCTGTAGACCCTCCGATATCCTTCTAGCTACCTATAACCTCTTGATCCCTCGATACCATACCAAAATCCCTTAACATTCCATAAAAATTTTAATCATAGATTTTTTCACCCGCAGGCTGAAAATTCTGAGAAGTTTTAAGGTCAATACTTTTCTCACCTCTTTCTGAAATAAATGGAGGTCGGGTTTTGGAAAAGAAAATTTCTCGGATCGGGTATTCTCGGACCGACCCACCCAACACAACCCATCCCTATTGCGAGCGTCTATTTAAAAATGCCATTCCCATATGCAAACTCTCCACCCATTTATTCTCCATAAAAACGAGGGGATTTCTTCATTTCCCTATAAAATTTTTTCATTTTTCTATTTTTAAAAAGCTTCCCCTCAGTAAAAAAAATTTTTCTCAAGTTTTCAAAAAAATTTTAAACAAAATCCTTTAAAAAATGTATTTTAATACATTTTCCAAGACATTTATTGTCTTGATTTTTGTTGGGTTTGCTCCTCTTTTTGTCAAAGGAATGCATAATTTTCCTCGTAAATTTTTACACTTCTATCAGAAAGCCAAGATTTGCTTTAAATAATTTTTAAAAATTTAGTAACTATGCAAACTGGTGGAGGCGAATCGAATATTAATCTGAATGTGTTTTCTCTTTCTGAGTTGTCCTTTCTGATAAATATTTTAGATAAAATTAAAGAAGGAGATTACAAAGATTATGGTTCTGTTGAAGATATGCTCAATGCGAGAGGAGCTGAAGTATTAAGCGAACATGATGAAATTGAACCTCCATTCGTTTTCAATTTTAAACTAAAAATAAGAGCGGTAAGGAAGGGGAGTGCCGGAAAATTGGGCTCTGGAAAATTGGGCTCCAAGATTTTTCGGAAAATTGGGCTCCAACTTTTCGGAAAATTGGGCTCCAGCGGAAATTTGGGCTCTTCGTGAAAAAAGCGGAATATTGGGCTCTAAAATTTTGGGCTCCAGAGGAATTTTGGGCTCTATGGAAAAAAGTCAAAATATGCAATATCAATGGGGGACGTTGTTAGTATGACGGGGGTCAACGGGGGATGTTGTTCCGTCAACGGGGGATGTTGTTCCATCAATGGGAGATGTTGTTCCACCAACGGCGGCGGTACATCGGCGTGTACCCCATACAAACATCTCTTTTTTTGCATAATTTGCCTTTTTTCCATAGAGCCCAAAATTCCTCTGGAGCCCAATTTTCCGAAAAGTTGGAGCCCAATTTTCCGAAAAATCTTGGAGCCCAATTTTCCAGAGCCCAATTTTCCGGACACCAAGGAAGGGAGGATGATAGTGATAAAGATTGAAGGCAGTGTAGTTATGGTTCCCGAATATCCGGAGTCGACTATAGCCGAAGCCATAAAATGCCTAATAAACAGCCTTGATTTAAAGGCTTCGGACATGAAACCGGGCATTTTGATAAAATCTAGTTTATTCAGTTTCTAGGTTTTCGAAATTTTAGCCAAGAAACCGGCCGAGTTCCAATTTAGAGTAAATTTCATATTCTGACTTTCTGGCCAAAAAAAAAGTTTTCAGCCGCAGGCGAAAATTTTGAGAATTTTGTAAGACCAAGACTTGCTCAAAAATTTTAGCCTGCGTGCTAATAAGCTAAATTTATTGCATCTTAGGTGACTTATTTAAACTTAATCTCAGCGATATACTTAACAAGGGTGTGCCGAAAGTCATTTTAAAAACTGAACGGCGTGAGACGAAAATCCAAAAAAGGCGAAAATCGGCGAAAGGCTAAACTCGCACACCCCTGATACTAAGAGTTCGAACTCTAGTTTCTCAAATAAAAATTATGTTGATCAAAATGGAGGCAGTCAGTAAGTAGTTATTAAAAACGATCCTCAAATTTTCGATTTTTCCACTAAAATAAGAAAATTTAAGCAGAAACCGTAAAGAATTTAGTCCGAATTTTAGTCTCAACAGACTCCTTTTCGAACTCTTTTTTAATTTCTCGTTAAATAATTTATTCATTAGCTTCCGCTGAATTCCATCATTTTAAACTCGCGCCAAAAATACTCTTCCATTGATGTGAAAAATTTACTCATTTTTTCAAAAAGTTCCAGGTCCCATTATCGCCCATTCCCTTATCCCCAAATAAAACAATCCTAATTTACAGTTGATAAAACATTTTGAAGGAATTCTTAACAAGTATGAAAATCAAATAAAAGGAAACTATAGAAATTTTGATATATTAGATAAGCTCAATTTTATTAATAGAAGAATTAAAGAGTATAAACAAACTGTTAATGAAGAGGAATATGTTAAATTTATTGGAAAACACGGTTTAGATATAAATGAGTTTGGTGATGAACGAGATCTGAACAATATCCCTGTTTCATTATGGAATATTGGGTAGTTTATATATTGTAAAGCATATAGCTATTAATTTCCTAAGGCTGAGCAGTAGGCGGCGTGGTGTAATGGCTAACACATCAGTCCGGTCTACTGAAGATGCTGGTTCGCTCCCAGCCGCCGAATAACCTTTTGCACTAGCTAAAGGAGAGAAATAGCTATAGCCCAGCTGCTTTACTATATTAAATTGGCTCACAAACTTAAGTGGAGTTAATATTTAGTTGTGGTTAATACTAAGGGAGGGGAGGTGGGTCTCTCTGAAATAACAAAATAAGTACTTATAATGGCAAATATGCTCTGAAATATAAAAGTTTTGTCTAAAAATGGACTAGATATGCAAACAAAAAAGACAAATTTTATCTAAAAATTTAATTGAATTTTTTGAAAAAATCTTTTTAAACAAGTTTATTTCATAGTAGAGTGTTGACTGTCATAGTCAAAATTAACTTTTTGGACCTGTATACATAGTAGATTTGGGAATAACTAAATACTTTACAAATCTAATCTTGAGCAACATTTAATAATTTTCATAAAATTTTTTAGCGAAAGTCAAGAACTTTGGGAAGATTTAACTAAAATTCTATATCAGGAGAGAAATTTATTTATTTTATACAATTTGTTTATTTTGGCACGAAAATTGATTTTGAAATTTATTTATCATAATTCTGATGGGAGAATTTACGCTTATATGTATGAGCGTCATGAGCTGTATGAGCGGTAAGTTTGTTACAGTACGTAATTTAAGGCCGGATCATAATAAATATTTACACGTGAACATCAAATATAGCTCAAAGTAACGGAAGTTCTCAAAAATGTGCAAAGAACATCGTTATACTTATCATCATTATAGCATCGTTATACTTATCCTTTGGAAAAGCTACTGTAATGAAATAGGCTAGGGGAGATCACTTCTTCATTAATTCAGTTGAGAGTTGCTGGCCGGCCATACAACGAAGAGCCCTCCATATAGAGATCTCCTTAAAAGCTCTACCCATTGCGTGCGATTTTCTTATTTCCTATACTCTGCGAGGTTCACTCATGGTTGCAACATGCGCGACTCTGCAAAACATTAATTCCACAA